GAAACTGATGGCAATATTCTTGTAAGTATACTTGAAGCTACGATTGAGTTATTGATCATCTGAAGAAGTCATAGGTTGGGATTATATCCTTGTAATCACAAAGGCCATGAACAGCATAAAAGGTGCACAACAGGATCAGTATCCAAACAGGATCTTTCTTATGGGGCAGCCCAAATGGAGAGGTTGCCCCAGTTCTGCTATAAGGATAAAATGAAATCTACTGCACATGCCTGATGCTAGGAGTGCCCTCATTTCCAAATCCTACCCCTCTATGGTAACTGCAACCTAAGATACATGAGCTTAGCAAAGGATTTTCTTAGCCACACAGTCTAACCCTTGGGAAGCTTAAAGAAAATGCAGGTCTGTGGAATATAACTGTTGATCATAGCTGCCTTTGGTGCCTTCTCAGACTTACGTGTTGGGAGTCAAACTTCATGAGACATGAAGCCTGTTTTTTAGTATTAGTCCAATGCCCCTGCTTTTCCATGTAGACTTTTTTTTTTTCTTTCCCCTGAAACATCCTCATGTACCTATTTCACCCCATTTTTATTCCTGGGGACTTTGCAGGCCGCCCCTGACCCAGGACACCTGGAGCCTTTGGTGCAGCTTCCTCTGACTAGGAAGGGTCAAGAGTCCTTTAACTGGTGTTTGGGAGGGACCTGCCCTGAGAGCAGCCAAGAGTTTGTGTAGCTGGGTGTGAAGAAGGAGTGAAATAAGGAAATAAGGGAGCCTCCGTTGAAACTGTGGGGGTGTAGCAGTCTTAGACATGGTGATAACAGGGCAGTTTCCCCAGAAGGTGTAGGAACAGCTGTTCCTGCTTGGGCAGAGGTTTCCACAGAGAGTGGCTGCAGCTTTCCAAATCCCAGACTTCAGGGGGTGTCAAGAACCTCTCCCGGAGGCTGAGGGAAATGTGGCTGCAGGCCATCTTGGAGGAACTGTTCTGGGAGGTGGAGGAGGTTCGAGAGGAAGTGTGCAAACTGCAGCATCAGAGAAAGTGGAAGGGAGAGAGATAGGGTCTCCTCTAAGACAAAACAGCATGAAGACCATCAGGGCCCACCTGCAATGGAGAAGCAGGCAGTGTCTGTGCCCTCTATCAAAGTAAGAAAAACCTCTGGAGAATTGGAAGAGTGGAAATTGATGACTTCTTGTATGAAGAGGAAGCTCCCACCTCATCTAAGAACAGGTTGGCTGCCCTCAGAATTGAGGAAGAGCCAGATGCGTCCCCTAGAAAATGATGTGGTTCACTTGACTGTAAACCATGCAGGTCTACCAGGAAGAAAAGGTGAGACCCTGCAGTGTGTTACTCCCTGCTGCAAGGACAAAGGATCCATCTGTAGGCCTGACCAACCATCCAGAGATGTTTTCTTCCTTGGAGGGGCCAGGATCCAGGATGTTGTGCAGAGACTGCCAAAGCCTGCCCAGCCCTCTGATTTCTATCCCCAGTTGTAGGTGGAGAGTAGACTTGGATGACCTCCTGAAGTTCCTTCATTCTTAATCATACTGGGATTCTGTGGAAAAAAAGGACACCTGGACTGACAGAAACCTCTGCTGGAGTTGTCACTTCTCTCATACATTTTTGCTCATTGTTGGAGCCTGCCTGGCGTGGAAGTGGCAATGAACAATGCACAGTTGTACAGGTTCCTTTGCAACTCATGTGTTTGCCAGGTGCAGGAGTAACACATGGCAAGTTTGAAGTCTGTGTTGTTCAGCAGGATCACTAGCCCATGCTGTTCAGTCCTTAGCAAACCAATGACCACCAAAACAATTAAAACCTACTCTCTATTACCAGTCTTGCACAAAAGTGTATGTTTCGCAGTTATCCCAGAGCTTTCTGAGAACTACTGCTCTCAGATTTGCCTTGGTAAGAAATAGAAATGCATCTGTTGTTCTTGGCTTGTTTTTCAGTTGGACCTGTGATAATGAAATATCGCTTCCCATTAGGAAATTGAAAATTATAGAAAAAATCCAGCATTGCTAAAAGCAAAATCATGACATTTGGTTTAGTTTCAGATTGTTCAATGGCTATGGCTGCAGTTACAGTATATTCACATCTGGAACTCCTGTTATACCCCTTGTTTTATTGGTAACAACTCTGCCTTCCACAGTTTTCTCTTTGCTCTGTGCTGGTAAGAAGCTCTAGAAGAGTGAAACTTAAAAGTATCTTTTAATCAATGTTCACCCAGTTCCATGGATATAAAAGATTACTGACTTTTTTATAAAAGAGTTTTCAGTGACAGAAGCTTTAATTCACTTCTTGAAAAAAGGTTTGCCACTGGAGACTTGCTGATGTGTTGTATTCTCATGGAAAATTGAATCCAATCTGTGCTGGTGAGGCATTTTATGAATTTTGTGGTAGATTCATTTAAATATAAGTTTTCTATTGGTTTGAGATGAAAACAGTTTTACTGAAAACTGTTTATTTCATAAAGTATCTGACTCCAAACACTGTGCTTTGGAGAAAGAGGTTGTTTTTATTTGTTTATAGATCAACAAAATTTGAGAAGGCAATTTTGTGAATCATGCTGCATTTTATTGTTGCATTTGGGGATAAGAGCTTTCTCTTGTGTGGAGCAGAACACATTTTTTTTTATAGGATGAAGCTGGCTTTCTGAACAGCACTAAAACACAACCATAAGTTGCAGAATTCCAGGCTTAGTGCTAGTTTGTTGAAAATTTACCTCAATTTTCAGGAACACTTGGTAAGATAATGAGAAATATATCTTAATTTAAAAAAAGAAATAAATCATTAGTCAGTTATTTTGTTAGAGATTTACCGCTGATTTTATCCAGGCAGACTAAATACAGGTCTGGCTGTAGAGAAACTGCTCTTCCTTCCACCAATAATTTCCCAGCTCCTCCCACAATATATGAAGAAAAGAGCATTGGTTCATCACCCCTATCAGCTTGCAGCAGGATACCATCATTGCTGTAGAATAATACACATAAATTTGTAAATTATTTTAGCTATCTCAAGCTCTTACTAGGTGATCAGTTTTTGCCTCAGTCTGATATAAAGTGGGCCCCAAACGGATGTCTTACATAACATGGGTATTAACTCTTTCCTGACAAATGAGCAACAGACCACGCTATTTTTTTTTTTTTTTTTACATCATCAACAAGGTTAGTGGAAAGATTGCTTCCTCCTCAGTTGTGCAGAGAGAGCCACATCCTGTCTCAGTATTGCTCTTCTTTTTTATGACTTTATATTGGTTGGAGATGAAATGACCCCAATTTAGTGCCATGGCAAAGTTGTGATGTTTCTTTACTACATACTTTTTGGACCAGGAGACCTGATTCATATTTGTTTTCCTTAATATCATTTTGGATAGCTCTGAAGGAAAGCAATTAGTTTGTGTGACCCATTGATTTCCTGAGGCCATAGATTATTTCCATGTGTCCTAAATAGGGTGTAAGTTTCTTTGGAATGAAGACATGAAAAGGATGGGGAAATAGCAGAATCTCTAATAGAGCTGATGTGTTTTCTTATTGCTTTTCTTTGTGTGTTGTCATGGAGAATAGTCTGAGAGAGAGAGGCAGTGGTAGAATTTAAAAAAAAAAAAACAAAAAACAATAAGGGAAAAAAGAATACTCAGTGATTAGGCAGGAGTCTGGGATTATTCATGCCTGGTAAAGCCTCTCACAGGAGTGTTGTTCAGGTCATGTCAGACAGGCACTGGATAGGCACAGGACTGCGAGACGCGGCTCTGTGCCACGCTCTGCAGAGATCCCTGCTTCAGAGAGTTGTCGCTCTTGTAAATACTGGTGACAGTGGGCTCTTCTATCAACTTGCAGATGGTCTAGCTTTACTTACCTTTAATTTGCCTGTGAGAAGAGTCATCACATTTTTCAAGAGGGATATGAAATGGGGTTTTGTTTTCCTGAGAAGCTGTCTGGCGAGGCAGAGGGGCTACATTAGGGATGTTCATAGCGTAGCTCTGCAGCGGATCAGGTAGCTGGCGGCTTTGCATAGCAACATTGTGGCCAGCATATTAAATCATACGCCACTTTATGCTGCATTTGTCATCTGGGGGCTTCAAACCCTTCCTAAAAATAGAAAAAAGTGAATGCTTTAGTTCCCACGCTAGAGAAGGAAAGGTTGAGGCAAAGAGAAGTCAAGTACTTTGTCCACAATCACACAACCAACCAGTGTGTCTGGGGAGAATTTACTCCAAAAGCCGTACCTGCCATTTTCAATTACCTCCTTTTTTGTTCTGTGGTCCTCTCTTTTAGTTTTGTTTTCTATGTGTTTGTGCAGGATTAAATATATAGACTGCAAATGCATAAATAAATTCAATTGTGTTATTTTTGCAGTGACTAAAATGCCCATATATTTTGTATGATTTTTTTTTTTTATAAGAAATATTATGAAACTATTTAATAGGGAAAAAATACATGTTCTGCATTAAATAAAAAAGGCAAAAGTGAAGATAATTTTTTTTTTTTATTTTTCAGGATTTCTTAGAATTAGCTAAATGACTATCAGTAATTTAATCTCCCCATGTTTGTAAACCCTCCTTGTGGAGCCTAATGAAGCATTAAAATGCTGGAGTTTTAACTTCTATTTTTTAACTTCAAAACACAGAACACAATTTGGGCAAACACAGCAAAGTAGAAGCTGTCTGTGGATGTGAAACAGGAAGCAGTAGTAGATAGACATGTGTAATAGGGTTGTGTTTGCTCTTGCTCAACTAGATATACATCAATTTTAATTAACACGTTTTTTGCTTCAGCTGCTAACGTCCCTTCAGCAGTGAGTGGGTTATGTGTTTCCATCCTGCATATACCGCCAGCATCACCACCACGTCCTTCTCTAGCTTCCCCCTCCCCTTTCTACACAAATGTTGCAACACAATCTGAAATTTCCTCTTTTCTTTCCTTCCTGCATTTCTTACAGGTTCCTTTGCGTCAGAAGGCAAAAAAGAAAAGCCAAGGTAATGAGAGATTGTTTTTTCTTTTCTCTCCTGCATTCCTCTTTTGTTATTTTCTTAGTATGTCTTATTCTTGGGGGGGTGAGGATTTTGTACTGCTACTCATCTGGTGAAAAGCTGCTTTTTAACTCCATTGATTCTTACACCGATTCTGAGAAAAATGACAACGGGCTGTTCCTTTGGACTAAATCCTTGTGGTATGTTAATTGAATCAAAGCTGGAAATCAGTGAGGTAGAATCAGCTGCCTGCACAGACATACACACTAGTGGTTTTCATGTACTTGGCATAATAGTTTTCTCTATCTGACTTAGATGTATCCTTTTCAGTGCAGCTGTGTGAGGGAAAATGTGTGCATGCTTCTCTTAAAAGGATCAAAAGCTGTATTTTTAATTTACAAAAACTCGTGTATGGTTATCTTAGCATTAATTAGTATCTGCATTATCTATAGCTTACTGTTTAATTTCTGAACATCAGCAAGCCTTTCAAATGAATGTGTGTTACTGTCACAGCCATTATAAAACTGAATTACTTCTAAGTATATTTTAAGATATGCTTGGATGACTTGCTGAGGTTCCTAAGTAAGGATGATATCCTTAATTGGCAGCAACATCTTTCCTGGTAATGCAGTTTTAAGCAAGCACAACACTGTATTTTTAATGGCACAGGGTTCTTTATAATGAGCCGACGGAGGATATCATGCAAAGAGCTGGGGCAAGCCGATTGCCAAGGATGGCTCTACAAAAAGAAGGAAAAAGGAGCGTTCATTGGCAACAAATGGAAAAAGTTCTGGTGTGTGCTAAAGGAGTCATCGCTGTATTGGTACAGCAGTCAGCTGGTGAGTACAGCGTACAGGCAGCTCCGGGTGCCAGCATCTGCTGGGACTGAGAGAAGGGAACCTGGGGTCACAATTTAGGGGCACCCTGGACGAGTACAAGTAACTGGGTTTATTTCTCAGCCCTGACACTTCTTGTGAGCTGGGAAGTGTCTATATGAATTTGAAATATGCAGAAAACTGTATTTTCTAGTTCAGCAGGTACTTGTGAAATGTTAACCTGCTGTCTGTTTCATCCTGTAAAGAGCTGTTCTTTAAAGCCTCTGGTGGCATTTGAATTTGGGAAATGTTTTCCTGGGTATAGACAGTTTGCAAACACTTATTGTCAAAACTCAAAACAGGAATGTTTCTTCACTTATTATTAATTTAATTTAATTTAATTTTCAGTAGTGTCTCTCCTATTTCTCTTTCCTTCCCTTTCCACACTGGGATTATTCTGTTTGTCTGCTTTCTTTTTCTTTTTTATTCTATTTTTTTTTTTTTCCTTTCCTCCAAATAGTAGAAGTCAGCTGGCTTTACTCTGGGCTTGTTTGATTGGGCAGAGAGGGTATCTTGCCCATCCTAGGAAGATTCAGATATAGTTATATAGTTATTTCTTTCACTTTGCTGTCTGGCACTGCTACCTCTAAAAAGCTCTTATCACATTCAAATGATGGAGTGACAGATCTAAGAATTAGAGTGTGAAGAGAATTAGGGTATGCCAGCAAAAACATAGTTTGAAACTTAGCAACTTCAGTGTTGAATGGTGGATGGGCATGAGGTTCCTTAAATGCAAAGCAGCTGCTCTGGAAATCAGCATGTCACAGGCACAGCAAAGGATGAAAGATTAAAGGAACCCTTATTAATTCTTAGAGCATTTAAAAATATCAAGGGCAATCTGGATGATTTCCACTTGTTTATTTCCACTGCAGTAATCCCCATCAAAATTTTTGCTAACTTTTTTTAAGCCATTAAAAAATCGTTGTACCCTAAACAAAGCTTTACTCCTGTAGACTACTTCACATTCTTTCTTCAGTTGTGAGTGTTAGTGTTAGTGGTTTTTTGTGAGATGTTTATTTGCTTGTGTGTGTGAGAGAGATTTTTTTTGTTTGCTTTTTAAAAATCCAAATAAAAACTTTGACTGGTACTTCAAGATGATATTAACTATTTCTTCTTGGGGTAAAGGAAAGCAACTTTGCTAGTCTTGGGCTGTTGTTCTTTATGATGTTGTGTAGTCTGATATAGATTCCTTTCAAGACTGTCAAATACATGCATACTAGAAAGAAAATAAATAAAAATACTGGGGAAAAAAGTTTTGAAAAGGCACTTTTTTCCTTATACTTACAATATCTCTGCTTGAAAGACATGGTGAGGCAGTAATACAAATAAGCAGCATTAATACCTTGCAAAACCTTACTGGCTTTTTAAAATCTGTGTTTGCAGTGTGCTTCTGGCCAAGCAGTTTTAAGAAAGGTGAGCTGGCTGGCTGACATGAATTTTTAGACACAGAAAATATCAGAAAGGAATAATCCCAAGGAGTAATCAAGATGAGAGGAAATAAAAAAGGCAAGACTAGGAAAAGTTTGCCCCTGGGAAGAGAAGAGTGGTGGGGGAGAGGTGCAAATTCCTCCACTTCCTTCAGTTGTTCTGGCCAGGTTAAATTCCACTCCTGAGATCCAGAGAAACCATGATCATGCTGGTTCCAGTGCTTCTAGACAGCACTCACCCTTTTAGTCCATGCCTGCTTCCTGACTGTCACTGACTGCCCCCAAAAGAACAAGGCTGAAAAATAAGTGTCAGCCTCATTCCAGTTTATTTTATGTCCTCTGAAGAGCCAATGTGACTTCAAAATATTGTTGTCTTGTGTTAGCCCTGAGTTCTCACCTATCCCAGCTGTGCTTTAAGCATGCTAGCCAGTAGCACCCCTTTGCTTTCAACTTCTGTCAACTCTCACACATATTTTATGTTAAAAACTCATGGTTTCTTTGGGCAGCTTAAAGTGCAGCCTATTTATTTAATCTATTTAATGATAATGTAATAATATATAATATATAATATATAATATAATCTATTTAATTATAGATTCAATCAGTGTTTGCAGAATGTAAGTAACTGTGGGGTTTGGAAAGGAGGAGAGGCGTTCTTTGCTAAGGCCTGCTCTCTTAAATTCTTGAGACCAGAGGCATGCTCAGAGTTGTATGTGGGATCAATTAGACCCAGATATTTTCACTTCAATATTGATGAAGGAGAAATAGCAGTGACACATTGGCTTGCTTGCTTGACAAGTCTCTGGCCTGGCATTAGGACTGCCTGCACTTCCACTGTCTTCAGTAAAGTTAATCCTTGGTCCCAAGGGGGTGTACAAGATGACAGTCTCAAGTTCTGTTGAAACAGGAATCCTGCTTCTCAAGTGCCTGGGGCTTCCTGTGACCAGCCCTTTTACAGGGGCTGATGCCAAAGGTGCTGATGGAAGAGTGGGGCTGACATCAAAGGACCTGGGGCACGCTGAATACCTGTAGCTCTGCTTGACCAGTTTGGCTCTGGTGAGAAATGAGCTTGGTTTGTTTGTGGCTGTGTGAAAACCAGACACTGGCAACTGTAGCATAGCAACAGGGTGCTGGACCTTTTTTCTAATGGAGATGGAGAAAATAGAGAGTGGGTGGAATTTGTAGGGAACATGCATTATCCTGGATTTGGGTAGATAACCTCATCTGCATGTCATCTTCTTGGTCAAGTTGTCTTCATCTGCCTGTGGAGCTCTGGATGTTTCTGTCACTCAGGCTTAATTTTTCAAGCCACTCTGGTTCTGGGTCTCTCATGAGAGGCAGATTTGGATACATGATACAGGACATTTGTTGTGACATTTGCAGCTGATATTTCCTTCAATTTAACAAAAAATATTTTGTGAATGCCACAGCGCAAATGAGTAAAAAAAATAAATGGGTCAGCAGTAGCAGATCAGACACCCTAAGAGTTAAACTTCTCCTTCTGAAAGAAAGCCAGAGAACACAAGCAAATGTGAATAAATTTTTGATGAGTGATTTCAGCAGGCTTGTAGGCTGCCCTGGAACCTCTATCCACACAACCTTCTTCTTTCTATAAAATGTGAGGCAAGTAAACTTCTCTTTGCAGCACGGAAGCACTCCCAGTCTGGGGAGGGGAAGCTGTTTGGACTAGGAGGAAGCACGGAAGGGCTGGTTTTGCAATGAAAACACAGGACATGTCAGAAAATATATCTGGGTAGTCAAAATTTCTGGGTGCATTCAAGAACACCAGACTCCTTGGACAACTGCTTTTCATTAGTATTTGGGGTTTTTTTTGGTTTTTTTTTAATTTTTTTTTCTTTTTTTAGTACTGCTCGCTGTAGGCAGCTGCCTTGAAGACAAGTGTCAGTTTGTGATCCTGCCTGACCCTTTAGCTGTTTCAATTCTCATACTGAAACCCCAGAGGGAATTAGTACTCCTGCATAGGAAGAGGGGTGGTGGGGGAGGATTGTCACGTGTAATCCCAGGCTCCTGGCTCTTTGTGCTTGTTTCGACTGTGTTGGATAGTGTTGGCTGGAATGGGACAAAAGACTAAATGCCTCTGTCTGGTGGGTCTTTAGGGTAGCTTGACTGGTTTTCCACATAGAGTTGAAATAGATTTTTGTAGACTGTCTTAACGATGGTTGTCATGGGGATTCAGGCTGAAAAGAAATATAAATATAAAATTAAAGAGATGCAGTCTATGATCTACTGTCACTATTTATCTTTGTACTCTTTTTTTCCTCATTCACTGCATTTGCATTGGTCCTCACTCCAACAGCTTTGCTGGAAGCTGTGTAATTATGGTCTTTTAAAAGAAAAATCTTTTACCTTTGAGTTGTAATAGCTGCTTATGTGGATGAGAAAAAGCCATTGATGTCAGCTGATTGAGCTGAGAGGCTTAGGGACCTATGGCCCAATATCTTACACAATTTATTCACAGTTCTATAGGATGCCTCATTGGTGTACTTGCAAAAAAATAATAAAAAAAGACTAAAATGCTGAACTGCTCCTCCAACATCCATAGCGTCTTCTGGGGGCAGTGCTGAAACACTGATGAAGCCTTGAGGACTACCCTGATTTGCAGATTGGAGCTCTTCCACAATAACAAGATATTTCATTTTTTCTAGCACTGTTTTTTAAAATCTTGCTGCAACATTACACTCACTTTAAATGACTTACTAAATCTCCTAAAGCCACAACATTTAGATAACATATTGAGGCAAGCTCAAAAGGACATTAGCCTCTTTCATTGGATTCATGCATTGTGTTTCATAAACTATTCTTTTTTTTTGAGTGCAAAGCTTTTCCTGTGAAAAATGACTACTTTCTTTTTTTTCCACAAGAATTTGCAGAGACTGTTGTTATTAATGAAATTATTTTTCTACAACTTGGAATAGCAAAAGCACAGATTTATGTTAGGCTAACCTCCATAAAACCCACAAGAGATAACAGCTTATTCTTTTAAACATCCTGATTAAGTAGAAAACAGGTCAAGGTTCTTTGTATCTGAGTTTTTTAGGGCTATTTTACGGCTTCACATCAAAATCTGAAGGAATCTTGAATGAAACGTGTGAGTTAAATAATAGCATGCTAAAGCCATGTTAGAGATAACATTTTGGAAGAAAGAAAGCACTTAGGATTTCTATAAGCTTTAAATGTTTTAAGATGTCATTTTTATCCCAAGAATGACTGAAAAGATGACTTCCACATGTTCTGTTCCTAGGATTTATTTGGAATTCTATTTGCTGACTGAAATAACACCCTTAAGATTTTTTAGTGACTTCTTTTTTTTTTTCCCTTTCTTTTTTTCCTGATAATTATGAAGTTACATACCCCATCAAACTCCTCTTTTCTGTTACATAGATGGCACATTTTAGATGTGAACAAATAGTGTATTTCACTCATACATAAAATGAAACATAATTTTTTCTTTAAATGAACAAGTATGAAATCACAGACAGAATTAGTTTAAATTCTGAATGCATTGAGAGCGAATGTGTATGTGAGAACACAATCATTTACCAACTGGAACAGGCCAAATACTGCATAAGAAATAGGGGGGTTTTCTGTTGTACAATTGTTAGAATTAAAGTACTGAAATCAAGGCCTACAGACTTATAGCCATTTGTAATTTAGAGGGTGCTCTCCTAGTTTAGATAGAGGAATCTATTTTAATCTAATCTAAATTACTGATGGATTATGACAATGGTTCAAGTCCAAGTTCCATTTCTGGGTGGGAGTGTTCCAGGTGAGTGCCTCCCCACTGGCTTATGGGTGCTGGTAATTCACTAGGCCAATACAAAATCCAAACACTCAAATACTTTTGTACATTGACAGTAGAGACAGTGACTTATCTAATGGCATTTCATGCACTTAATCCCCTCAGGAGTGCTTTTGCAGCACTCTAGACTGCTTATAGGGTGCAGTCTAGACCAATGGCCACTGCACTGATAGACAGAATTGGCTGAGCTGTAACTGCAGTCAAAACATGGAAGAAAGGCCAAACCTGTCCCAGACCCAAGTCACCCACTCACCCACCTGATGGCTTACCCAGCTCAGGCCACAGATTTATTGCTGCGTGGGTACCTGGGTATATTCCTTCACCCAGGGTCTCATGGATAACTTTTTCTTAAACTGGTAGTATGGATTTTTACTACAGAGAAGCAACTGGCATTGTATGCATTTCTCATCCAGCAGTGTGTGCAAAAGTGATTGCTGTACCTCATGGACAGCTTTTTTGAGTTTGGTTCATGGTATTCTCAAATTTGTCTTGGGAACTAAACAGGAATTTTGATGTTCCAGATTCAGTAAGTGATCATCTTTTTGGAACAGAAATGCTGGATAATACAGTCTCTAGCTTTAGTACAGTGCAGCCCAAAAATAGTGCTCCTTCATTACTCACCAGTATTTATTTGCTCATCCCTATATATTTAACATACTGTGCATCTGGGATGCTAATACTAGTTAGTTGTCATTTTGTCACAATGACTTTAAGCTTATGAAATTTCAACCCGTGGAATGGAAACAAAAGCTCTCCAAGCTAGTCACTAAACAAGTTTTACAGATACAAATGCAATCAGAGAGTGTTAAAAGCCCACAGCAGCAAATAAACACTTTTTCATACAAATATTACAAAATGAAACTTCTTCAGCTCCCATGTAAAAAATCTTTTTTTTTCCTCCTGTACTGAAGTAAGGAAAACCCCTTCCACTGATGCTGTGTCTGTGTCTTGGAGCAGCAAAACTGTTTATTGGTGATGATGTGAAATATAAACTCCTCACATGAATGTTTAATACATGTAAATGATAGGAATGATGATTAGGTCATGATTTATTGTATGCCAAGATATACAGATATGAGGGGAAGCCACCCAGTGAAGTAAGCATTCTGTATCAATATTTCAGTTCTTGGAGATTCATACTTCCAAGCATTAAAACTCAAAGACTTGTCTTGATGAACATCTTTTTACAGTCTGATAATATTCATGCATAATGAGACTTGAGATACTGTCAGTCATCTTCATCTGTCCTCTGCCTTTGTAATTGCTGTGTGTATTTTATCTGCTTTTAACTCAGTGTACACTTTCAGAATTTTAATGTGTCTACTAGCAATGGCTGGGAGCAGCAAAAATGTAATTCAGGAATGAGAACTCTGTGTTTTGGAAAGTGCCTTTTTTTTCCCTGATATTATGTCCTACAGACTTGTCTACATTACATATTCATCTCATCTTAGGAGCATCTAATCTTATTGCAGATGGCCAGGTGTATGGAATAGATGTAGTAAGGAAGATCCTTCTGCCTCAGATGTTTCAGGCAGCACAAACAGGGATTTGAGGCTTGTCACTTCAGTTTTTCAGCTCTGACTCAGAGTCCTGCTGACTGAGAGCAGAGACGTCAATGCTCAGTGAAGCTCCTTGCATGCAGAAAGGGCTGACTGTATATAAACAGGGTACTGTGAATCTCAATGTCTGCCTGGATATTGCTACCTCTTGTACCATGCCTGCAACTTTCTGGGGGTAGTGATAGCTGGGTGACCAAAGCCCTCCGAGGCAGGTCTGCAGTGTTTAATCACAGAACTCAGCTGCGTGGGACAATCCCCTTGCACCTTGTGGCATGGGAGCAGCCGGCACTGCCTCTGCCTCGCTTGCCCTGCAAAATGGTCCATGCTGCAATTACACAGGGGACACCCTCCTCCATTTCTACTTGGAATCATCTTGGGGCACTTCTGAATTGTATTTTTCAGCTACACATAATTCATTTTATATGTTGCTGTTACATGTCTGTGTAAGATACTCACATGCTGTATCATGGCACAAACACACCTTTGAGGTTGGTGCCATCCAGACCTGAACAGATTATATAACACTTTTTCATCCTTACTAGTCAACAAAATCTATGCTTACACTCTGCCACTTGCACCAAGACGAGTGGTGGCTTTCTAGCATCCTGGATTTGCACAAATATAGCTGGTATAGAAATATTTCATCAGGCGTTAATCTGTCCCCATGGTGATGAGCATATATTTTCACAGTATAAAAAGCTGCCAAAAACAAGCACTTGCATGTTGAATGTTATTCAGCATTGGAATCTACTAGTTTACTGGTTGGTTGATGTGGTGATATTTAATTTTTTTTCTTATATGGAAGGCTGAAAAAGCAGAAGGATTCATAAGACTTCCAGACTTCAGTGTGGATCGAGCAATTGAATGCAAAAAAAAGCAGTAAGTTTATCTCTTGTTCCCAGTTTTGCATGATTTTTACAACATTGCAAGGAATGAGTCTCAGTAGTCTTTGACAGTGAAGCTGTGGGGAGTTCTTTTGTGTTGTATAAATAATGAGATATTAATTGAGCTACTGAAAGAAAACCATATTGCAAAAATATTTTTGAAAAATCTGTACCAGATGTGCTTTGCTAAAACCACAAACAAAAAAAACCCAAACAGATGAGTGTTCCAAATGCTTTCTTTTTCTTCTTTTTTTTTTTTTTTCATTTGCTGGTTATGAGTAGACTGTCGTTCTCAGATGCTCCCTCTTAGTGAGGAGGTCAGCAGTGGTACAAGTAATGCCACATCCCTCCAAGCCTGGACTATTTTTTAGGCTGCTGTGATGCAACTGAGCTTGGGCTGTGCTTGGGGCCTTTGGTTGTGCAGGAATAAATACTTTCTTTAGCAGGGTGCACATTTAAAAATACTCTCTCCAAACTCCATATACAGAACTGACTTCCATCTCCTTCTGAGTACACTTCAAAGGTTTGGAGGGGTGTTGCTGTTGCTCAAAGTTATAAAGTGCAGCATGGTTTTAATTGTGTCCCTCAAGAGAAAACCTTCATTCTTCTCATGGAGAAGTCAGAAGAGCCAGTCACTGTTCACCCACTGTGTGCTGCTTGTGATGTTACTGTGTCACATGTCCCTTCCCTCAGCCATCAGTTTTCCATGCTTTGGGGTCTTAGCCTGATTGACCACAGCACACAGAAGCTGTTTCATGTCTTGTGTCACTACTGGTGCTTTCTTCCAGCATTTTTCAAGTTTGCTTTACATCTTAGAGTCGGAGGAAGCAAAACTACACATAGTATTTGGGGTATGAGAAGGCAACAGAATTATGTAATGAAATAATGGAAGACTTTGTTTTATTCTTTATTCCTTCCCTTTTAGTTCCTGTAGTTTATACTCTCTGAATAGTGTGTGGCCTAGGAAATGAGATAAAAATAGACTAGAGTTTTAAAGAAAGAGCTGTATTGATGGACAAGCTAATCTGGATTAATACAGTGGAGTGAATAAATATTTTAAATAATTCATTCAGCTATTATTTTTTCTTTCTTATGGAAATTATTTTTCTTCACATCTCTTTTTTTTTTTTTTTCTTTTCCTAAAGTGCTATTAAGATCAGCCACCCACAGATCAAGACATTTTATTTTGCGGCAGAAAATGTTCTGGAAATGAACACGTAAGTAGGAGCGACTGGTCATGTTTCATCCTGTCTCATGCCTGAGAACACCCTTTGAAAGTTCATTTTTTCACTGTCAAGCAGTCGTTGACAAAGTTATTTGGGGAATTACGGAGTCTAATTTTTCTGGTCGCTAAATGGAAGAAAACTATTGCTCTTTTTTCACTAATTATGATTGAAATCAGAATTGCATAGTTAGGCAAATTTTGGTGCTAATCTTCCCAGCATTTGCTGGTATAACTCCCTTTCTGTTAGAGTGGTGCTAAGATTTGATAGCAAGTACAGCGCCTGGGAAGAAATGAGGGGAGAAAGGACAGAGAGGGAAAAGCTCCAGAAGTGATCTAGGACTAGAATATAACAGTTTCTGATTTCAGAGTATCATATCAGCTAACAAGGAGGGTTAGAGGGATAGAAAGGTCTGTTTCCTTTGTGTAAATTAGCACTAACTTCAGCATCAAGCTGTGCTGTAGTTGAATGATCCTCATGGCAGTTCAGACATTTTCATTCCACAAATATCCAGAAGATTAACAAATAGTTCTCGATGGAAGAAGTAAAAATGGATATCAATGCTGCCATTTTCGAAACCACTGAGCTATCAGAAAGATATTATTTTCTACTAATCCAAATTTGGCTGATTTAGATATATCTCATGTCTTTGCCCTTTTTATGTCAGATCACAGTCTGTTCTCTGTGCTATTGCATTAAATGGCCAAATACTGGATATAAAGCAGTACAATTTAAATGGGAATAGAGCTCCCATTTATACAATAGTCAGGTCAGGATTTTAATCATGGCTCTACTGGTGATCTTTGTGTGATTTTTCACAGGGCAATGACTACTCATTGCCTCTATAAATGAGAGACCTCATACCTATTTACCACAATAGGAAAAGAGAGAGGTTGAGAGAATGTGTGTGACCTTCTGAAAGATGTATAGATACAGAAATGTACAATATTACAGTAGTGTATGTACATAGGTATGTATTAATAAATCTGTACTGTACAGATGCCTACAAGTAAATATAGATGAAAAAAATCTGTTGCCATTTGCAAGCTGGAGCAGCATGGAGCATTCTGGTGGGGAGATAACCATCCATTTCAGTGTTCCTGCATTTCCCACCAGAGCTCCTGAATGGAGTGACAAGATCCTGAGGCAGATTGGATGAGGATGACTGAGAATGAGGGACAGCTGGACAGGAATATTTCAGTAGAGAGGGTAACCCTGGTAAAGAGAGAAGAGATGGAAGGACGTATGGAGAAGGAAATTAGAGCTAATGGAGGATATTAGTAAGTGCTAACAGCCAGTTTGGAGCCCAGCTGGAAATTCTCATGTGAAAAATGCTTGGTCTCCTGTGAGTCAGTGATTGAAATCTAAGCAGGTGTCTCAGCTCTTATGCCCCTGGAATGATTTTGTTCAAACTCCACTTCTTGATTAAATTTCATTTTGGCTTAAAGCTAGGTAGCCTAATGTTAGAGCAGCCTGCACTATGCTGTACTAGCCCCCCACTGTTGTAACTGATGATGTTTTCCTTGGCAAAGACCAAAATACATGCATTTAATACATAAAGTACACGCATACTCACGCATATGTTGAAACAGACTAAAAGACATCTGTTCTCTTGGCTCCAGTCCTGCAAATGCACGTGTGAATGGTTCCACTGAACTCACTGGAGCATTTGTGTGTGTCAAGTTACTAGTGTGCATAAATGCTTGATGGATCATGACCTTTTGTTACTCTTCATGCGTACATCGACATATGCATATACCTGCACATATATCTCTATTAAATCAACAGTAGATTTATTAACAAAGTCATTTATTTCACTAATTTATCATGTATTTGCTATTGTCATGCACACATGAAAAGTAAAGCCATGCATTTAGCTGGCCAGTTGTACATAGTTATTAGAGACTTGTCTGCCCTTGTCATTAATGAAGACATAGAAATTTTTTAGCAAATCTTTTCCTTGTTAAAGTGGATTTTCATTTAAAAAAATCATTCTGTTAGGATTAGCTGTCAGAAAATAGTCAATGGACCACTCTTAAAGAAATGAAACTTTGTTTTTCTGATGTCTTTGTAACTCTATTGCTCAGACTGCAGTCTAAAAGTGCAGTTACTTTGATGCTGATCTTAATATCAAATTCCCTGTTGCTTTAGTAGAACCAAAATCAAACAAAATGGTTTTTTTTCCTGGTAATTAATTCCTGCCCTTCATACTTTCTCTAGATACGCCTTGAGTTTTAATCTTAAAAGCTTGAGCCTTTTCAGTTGTTATTTACTTAAAATGTGGATACATCTGACTGAACTACAGGCAAACATAATATACAAAATTATGACTAGGGAATGTTTCTAGCACCATAAAGAGTGCAGCTACCTAGGAAGATAAGTGAAAAACACCCCAGTTATAGCATAAACCAACACAGGAAGTGAGACTTACTAAAACCAAAAGTACATAGCGAGTTGAAAAATGTGATATGTTATGATCAAAAACTTTGGTTTCAAGTGGTGCAGACTGTGCTGCAATAGTTTTGGCCAGGGCAGCTGATATCGTCTTCTGAAGCTCCCATGCCTGTTTCTTCCTCTCAGGTGAAAGATGACACCTCAACAGCTGGACGAATTCACTGACACGGTGTTACAGCACAAAAACTTGTTCTTTAGCTTACACAAATGTAACTACTGGGTCATCAGTAGTACATTTCTTTCAGTATCAAGGAAAAATGTCCCAGGCAACTAATCCTCTTCACTACAGGGAATATTAAAACAGAGTTCACTGGTGCCTTTCTAGAAGATGATTGAAGAAATAGAAACTTTGTCATTTAGTTGTCAGGCTGATGAAAACAGATGTGGTGATGCAGAAAACAGCTGAAAGGAGCAAAACTCAGTCTGAAGAGCATGTGAGTGTCCCTGACTCTGTGTTCCCTCTGCTTCAAACACAGGTGGCTAAGTAAGCTGGGAATGGCTGTAGACCCTCAGGCACCAAACAGGAAGAACGAAGAAGGTATGTTCCTAACTGGTTTCAGTGTATAACTACATTGTGTTCGCTATAGTTTTTGCTTGGCCAAATTTTTGTCATGTATTTTGTTTCTTTTGAACTGTCATCTTGGGTCTGCCTGCTGCCTGAGCTCAGAGAAACCACATTGTCACGGTACAGAGTAACCACAGGAAAAGAAAAAAATGGTGAGAAACAGTGTCAGTGAGAGACACTCACAGGTGATCTTGTGAGAGGTGTGTAACTACTTTCTGGCAGTTTGCTGGCTTGCTGAGCCTACCTAGTGTGAAGAGGAAAGCTGTGCTGCTCTGGGTTTTGAGCTGGTGATTGTGCTGCAGCATGGCAGCTTGCAGGCCCAGGAGCACCTTGTGCTCCGCGGACCCATCCGTACTGTATCCTCCAGTCCTGGGGGTTCCAACAACTGCAGTGCTGGGGGATGAGGGGGTGGTACTGCTCTTCTAGAGCCTACAATTTGTTTCAGAGCCAAGCCCTAGTTCATTATGGGATGAAAAACTTTAAAATTCCTAAACAATTTATTTCTTTATCTTAATTTGCACACTGACCTAATATAACTCTTTGGTGGGAGTATACCAGTACTCAAATCACAAATCTGGGCAGAGGGGCTGGTTTAGAGTGAGAAATGTTCTGAGTAACATTATGTTACCGAACCAGGAACAGACTCTAACCTGAGGAATCTGTGTCATCATCTGAGCATTTAAGTCTCCATTTTTAGAGTATTGGTACCCAGTGCCCTTTCTGGAATTGCTGAGCTTGTGAAGGAGCTGTCATTATGAAGAAGAAACTGGTATTTGCAGTTGTATGAACACTTAGGTGATGCAGCCTGTTTTGTCTAAACAATGAAGTGTTCCTCTCTGCAGCCCTCCTGCTTTATCACAAAATTCAAGATTGTGGTTTATGTCCAGGCTTGAGACATGTAATTACATATTGATTAATTTGATCTGGCTCCATTTATGCTCTACCATAAAAAGCAGCTTTGGTTTTGGTAAACACAGATGCTACTGATTCCTGGAGAATTCAGCAAGTCTCATTAGTTTCTTTGTTTACAGTTCACATTTGTTTCTTGTCAGGAAACTTGTTAACTTGCACACCATCTAATTCTTCCTGCCTGTATCCTGTCTGAAGCCAACTTTATCAAAATACTTTAGGATAAAGGGCTATACTGAATATTAGGTTGTGTAGAAGAACTGCAAGATACTTGTACTCAGGAAGGAAGTGTGCAAATATATTGTCCATCTTTTAATGAAAAGAAGAGTTTAATGGAAAATGGGAATGGCCAAATTTTTTTACATTAAACCAATTTTTTTAAACCTCAATAAAACATGATACTGGTTGTATTGGTTGAATCAATAATTATGAAGCAATGAAAAATGAGTTATTCCACCAATCTTAATCTAAAAACCAGAAGTCCATAAGATATAAAATAATACACTCAATAACCTCTGCAACAGGTTGTCTAATAACTTTGCAATAACGTAACATAGCCAATATCTTCAGCTTTTAAGGGCAGTCACCTGTTTCCCCCTCAGAAAAAGGACTTCTGATTTCGGTATCAAACACCTTCTTGTCTTTTCAAGCATTTTGTCGCAGGTGATCCAGCAGCTGCCTTCGGTGTGGGTGCAGCACCCACTGGTGCCTGGGTGAACACGTCCTTACAGAAGCAATGCTATGTTTCATAAAAACACTGTCACTACCCACAGTCACTTCTGTTCCTGCTGACCAGTTCCTGCTCTCTGTATCGCACACCATAATTCTTCAGAAGTATTGCCTCTTTTTATGGCATTTCTTGTGTATTCAGATACTTTCTGTGCATTTTAATGCACCCCCCCATCGCCATTTGCCTGTTTAGAGTATCAGAAACAGCTGTTGAATCTTTTTCAGTTCTTCTGTGTGCCTAAAAGGGGAGCTGTAGAAAGCAAAAGCTTTTTACTGAGTTACTCAAAAAGGCATGAACAGAGTCTTAGAAATTTATATAGGTCTTGTTGCAGCCAGTTTCAGTTCTTTATGCTTAGATGTGCCAGCAGATGTTTCCAGTAAACAGAACAGCATCTACACTACTCAAAATCCTATGGTTCTGCAAAGAGTACAGAGAGAAACAATAATGAGCCTCTTCAAGTTTCTCTTTGCTAACATGTTAGAAAATTCTCTCTCATGCACAAAATTCTTCTCTTACAATGTTATTCCCCTCACTCTGTGCTTATTAACACCCACCCTCCCCCAAAAATGACATGCAGAAAAATAAAGTGTGTGGGTATTAAACGAGCTAATTTTAAATGAAATAATCTCAGGTGACTGTCCAGAGACCATGCTAACCAACTGCTTTCTAGCGATGTGAGCCCCTGAAGTCCAGCTGTGATGAGGAATCAGAACTGGACTTGAGTAGCCCCTGCTCTCTGGGTCAGAGCTGGACAGAGGCTCTTCGACAGCACAGGCTGCTGAGTGCTTGTGGCCAGCAAAGGGCAGCGCTGGATCCCATGGACACCACAGGGGCAGCCTCTGTTCTGTGACCCTTGGCACTCAAGTTGTCCTCATCAGGCTCTGACTTTGTCTTTGTCATTGCAAACTCCCATGTCCCCAGTTCAGTGGGGTGGGGATGAGTGCTGTCACCCTGCACAGGTGGTGCAGGGCAGGATGCAAGCACTTGCTCCTGTAAAGGTTGCATTTGTGTTGGGAGATTTAGAAAAACTGATCTTTGTGGCCTTTAAGTGCACAAAGAGGATGCGTAAGAAAGATGGGGGCAAACATTTTAGCAGGGTATACTGAACAAGGGGTAATGGTTTTACACTGAGGTCTAGTTTAGACTAGATACAAAGATGTGATTTTTTTACCATGAGGTTGGCAAAACACTGAAACTGGTGGCACAGAGATGGGGCAGAAGTTCCATCCCTGGAAACATTCAGGGTCAGGCTGGACAAGGCTCCAAGCAGTTTGTCTAGCTGACAGTGTCCTTGCTCATTACAGAGATGTTGGACTATGTGACCTTTTAATGTCCCTCCCAAACCAAACTATTCTATGATCTTGTCCAGTGTTTACTATTGCCAGGTCCTGGGCATAAGAACCAGCAACATTCTGCCTCCCTGTTTCTGCGTCTAATTTTATCAATGATTATCAATTATTTAATCTACCTTTAAACAAATTTGTGGGAAATGTTTTCACCTGCTGCACAGATAGTTGAAATAACAGGATGACTGCCTCTGCCACATGTCAGTGAGTTCGAACTCCTATGAGTTTGTTTAAAAAAAAAAAAAAAAAAAAGAGACAAGTAGGGTATTCCTAGGGTATTCCTAGAGTACTGTGTTTACTTTTGGTATTACTTCTTCATATGTACTGCCATGCTGTATGGTGTGTCTATATGCGTTACCATGTGTGACAAAAGACTCTCACAAGGCTGCTCTATAGTTTTCAAAGCATTATGTGAACAAGCTTTTTATTCCAAAATTGCAGCCAAAGCCCCAGTGCCTGTTGCTAGCTCCAGGAAAACTTATTGGTTACAGAATTAAGGGATTGTCTGTGCTTCTTGCAACAGCTCTCCAGCATTATCACAAGTGGATTAGGAGACACCAACTTGTTAAAGTGTAGTCCTAAATCCAGACCACCCTCCTTGGTGATCTTTGGTTGCCACAGTGCTGCAAAGAATAATATGTTGGTCTAACTCTTTATTTTTGCTCATTTTCCATGTCTGCCTCAGAATGCTACAGTGAAAGTGAACATGATGATCCAGACATCACAGACACGCCACCTCCTCCCTACACAGTCCAGACCCCACCACCTCCTTCGGTAAGTGCTCAGTTATTACCTTGTTTCTTGTTGCAAGCAGGTTGAAACAAAACCCTCCTGAGGTGGTGGACCACTAGGAATAACCTAAAACATTGTGTGGAAGTGTCCACGCGGTGTTCCTGTGAAACAGGGAGACAGACTGCCCTCCCCGTGGCAGAGCACACAGCTGGCACATCCTGCACCGCAGGGAGATTTGCACTGTAAAAGATCAGCTCCTTCCTATTTATCTTGCTGGATAAAAGAAGGTGTCGTTCTACCTCATAGAAAAACTCTTTCTTTACAAGATTTTTAACACACTGCTAACAGCTGTTTTTTCGTACTCTTTTTTCTCTTTTTTTTCAAAATCCATCCTGAAACCTCTCTCTTTTTGTGACCTTGGTAGCATATTTAACAGCTTCGTATTTATTTATTTGAGTGGGCTGTTTTTGAGACTGCTGAATTAGAAGCTGCTTTTGTGGCAGTGAAGTGAAGGGAAAGAGGCCTCTTCACACAGAAATAAAAATCTGTTTTTTTCCTTCTACCTCTGAAAAATAGACTATGAAAAAAGATAATAGGCATGCTTCCAAAATCTATGTAGCATATCATCCCAGAATATTCCTTCCTGTCTCACTTCATTTCATAAATTAAAATAAGCACTCTGAACCCTCATGAGTCTAATCAAATTGGCTTGCCTAATTATTATCTACTTCTTGCCCTATTAATCCTGTTTCTATATAATTGTTTTTCCCAGTGATCTCATTGCCCTTATATGTGATTTAAATGGATATTTAAAAAAATCTTCTAATTTAAAAAAATTTTTTCCACTTTTAATTTTTTTTTTAAATAAAGAAAGAAAAGTTGTTAATTTGCTATGACAGGTAGCTTCACTAGTAGTTTTAGGGTGGTTTTTTTCCCTCTCTTTGCGGCCTTTAAAAGAAAAGTTTATTTTGTAGTAGAAGTCAAGAAGAGCTGCTGCAAGTAGCACAGGCAATCTCTTGATGTTTGTAACCAGTAAGTTTTCCTGGAGCTAGCAACAGGCATTGGGGCTTTGGCTGCAATTTTGGAGTAAACAGATTGCTCATATGATGCTTTGGAAACTATAGAGCAGCCTTGTGAGAGTCTTTTGTCACTGCATTTTTAATTTTTTTAATTTTTCCCCTTAAAATAGAAAGTCAAATTTACTTAATTCTGTTTTTAGAAATGAGTGATCTGGTTTGGGTTGGTAATAAGGAATCCTGATTCAAGCCTTTCCCTTCACTACATGAAAGTTAACACTGAGAGGTGTGCAGTAATGTACTTAGTACTAAATATTCTTGTGGCATCTCATGGAAGGGAAGTGTGTGCTCTCTTACTGTTGTGGTACAAGTTCCTCTGTGGCACACTGAAATGACACTCAGTAGCTGGGGTGGGCACAGAAGCAGCGAAGCAGGAGCAAATCTGAAATATACAGATGAGCTAGAGAAGCTTGTGCAATCACAGGCATTAATAAAAGGAGATGTTATGGACAGAGTTGCCTGTCTGGCCCTCTCTAAGTAGCTCACATATAGATGGGAGCACATGTCACACAGTCAACCACTCGCCTCCCTCATTTTCAGTCAGATAAGTCAGTCTTCACTTCCTCTCCTGAAACGTGTGACGTTTATCACCACATCAATCCGCCTGGCACGCGGGGGTGTGAGGCGCTCACTGCTGTAGAATGTGGCTCTTTATTGCCTGTATTAACTGGAAATGAAATGTGGCTGAGTGGCTATAAATATCAGAGGAGAGAAGAACTTTGGCAATATGTCTCCTGCAGCTATTCAGGGCCATGGGTCAGTTAATGAAGCGTCTTTAATTTTATACCTCAGTGGCTTGCCTTTAGGATATGTAGATGTGTTTTCCGTCTGCTCACCTCTGAGTGAATGCCTGCATTTTTCCAGATGATGAGTTTTAAACAGGTGCTGGTTTTAGTTTTCTGTTTTTTCTGGTTTCCTGCTGCCTGTTGGTCTGTTGCTGCAAAGGTCATCTCCGGCTGTCTCCTTCCCATATGCTCCTCTGGAGTGCTGGCCTCCGCGTTTTGGCAGGGAACACATGGGAGGCAGGCAGTGGTGCAGATGCTGAGGGATCCTGGTTTCTCAAGCTTTCTCTTAAAGGGAATCTTCCCTTCAGCCTTTACCTTTGTCAGCTGATTTCCCAATTCTTCCTATCCTTTAAAATCCCTTCACTTGTGGACAAAGGTTAGTGTCTCCTGAACAAAGGTGTCATCTTTTCACCCCAGAACTGGCCACTGGAGCTGGCCACTCCATTTGCTGTGGGTCTGCCCCATGCTCAGCTTGCTTATATAGTGAGTAGGAACAGCTCTGTTTGACTACAAGTCAGAGTCTTCTTTTAAATACCGTATTTAATACCTCTTTCACTTCTGGACAAGTGCTGAAACAAGAAAAACATTGGAAGGATTGGGAAAGTGCAGCTTCTACTAAAAATTCTAGATTTGCAGCCTGTGGTTTTCTCAGGGAAGGCTGGTTAAACACAGCTCTCTGCCTGTTTATTTGTTGCAGAGTTCTTGAACCAAGCTGTGAAGTCTCAAAAATGTGGTGGATTTGGGTTCATATTCTGTGGGTGCAGCACTTGGCCTATTTCAGTTTTCTCAGATTGCTGCTGGAAGTGACACTTATCCTGTAAACTCAGCTCAGTGTCAAGGATGCCACAGGCATTGACTGGAGTTAATTTCTTGTGGGGGTTCCAGTTGTTGGTTTCTCTAGGTCTGGATTGAAGGCACTTGAGACAGTAGTTCATGCTCGGGCTCAAGTGTTTATTATTTCTTATCTGAAAAACAGTCTCACTACTGTGAGTTTGGCAGCTTTTCATTAGAAGGCACAACATGGCTAACAGTCTCTTGTTACAAGGTCTTTTAAGACTAAACTATCCAATTAAGAACTGACACCTAGATTATTTTCCCTTTTAACCCAATAATTGATCCCAAGGAGCCTGCAATGCGGACTTTTCTGCCCAATTACAAAATGCCACTCAAACCCAGGAAGAAGGACGAAGAAGAAGCATGAAGAAGAAACTCAGGACAACACCCTGTGCCCTCCATCTTGCTTCCATCTACAACATACTAAAAATCCCAAAACCCAAATTTCTCACCAAGTGATACACCTACACTACTCTCTATAATCTATTTCACACTTTTGTGGATTCTAATTTATCTTGAAGTCTAGGAAACTTTCTCCATGAATGAGGGTCAAAGTCAGTGCTCCCCTGGGGGTCAGGGCACCCCAGAGCAAACAGAGAAACGTTCTCAGTGCCCTGGGTTTCCACAATTTATTTTTATTATTTTAAGCAGAAAGGCCTCCAAACTTCTTGACATCAACTCCAAAAAAAAAAACCCCTATTATTCTGGATACTAATAGAAACCCAGGTGTAGGCTTTGTTACATTTTAGAGCAGCAAACACTTTGCTGTACTTCTAGCACCAAGTTTGTACTTGCTGTTCTATTCTCTGCTGGCTCAAACCATTTTGAAATTTGCAGAAGAAAAAAGTAGTGATCATGAGGTTCCATGTGTATGTGTGAGTTTGTGTACTGTGGAGGAAAAAAGTAAGTGAGGAACAAGTAAATTATAACATCTGTAGGACAAAAGTTAAACTGACCACCTGCATTAATTTGTCCACGTGTGAATGGATACGTTAAAAAATCAGCAGATGTGTTAAGACAATAGATTGCAGCAGCAGCCAAAAAAGGAGTTGAAGAGTTTCATGGTCATAATTTGTCTCTAAAAAATATCTAGAGACTCATTAATCTCCAGTAAAATTCTTACTATCTGCTTTTTAAAACATGGAAATTTATTATATGGATGATTGCAAAACTTCCAGAGGAGCCACTAAAATAAGTTAGGTAAACAATTTTTATGCCAAAGAAAAAACAAAACACAACACATATGCAGAGAAAAAGAAACATCTTCTGGCAGTCATATTTATTCTCACTCATATTTTTTAATTAACACACAATGCAAATGAAAATAAAAACATATTCCCCTCAGTGAGGCACATCCTTCATTTCAATAACACTTTTTTTTTTTTTTTTTGTATAGACAAATGCCAGAAAAATAGAGGTGAGATCTAATATCTTCCTGTTCCAGCTTTGAACAGCTGAAATTAGACCATCTACAACATTTGGGCAAGAGCTCTTACTGTTTGGTTGCTGTGCTTGACTTTATAAACGCTTCAACAACTTGTCTTTGTGGTAGGAGCTCTTAGATGAAATGCTTCATATCACCTCTGTTCCCAAGGGCATTTTTGGCACTCCTAGTTTACTACATCATCTCTTTTGCTTGAAGATGCATATGTGAAGGTTTCTATTTTAGAAATAAAAACACACCTGAAGCACAGTGCTGTAGTTTTCATAGGGGAATATAAATGTCTGGGTCCTGCAATCTTTGGCACGGTGGTGTAGGAATCATGAAAGGACCAGAGAGCATGTCTTATGAGGAATGGCTGGGAGCTGGGTTTGTTCAGTCTCAAGAAGAGGGGGCTCAGGAGAGACCTCATTGCCCTCTACAATTCCCTGAAAGGAGGTTGTAGCCAGGTGGGGGCCGTGCCTACAGTGACAGGACTGGAGGAAGTGGCCTTAAGCTGGAACAGGGCAGATTCAGATTAGATATATGACAAGGTTTTTTTACCATTAGGTTGGTCAGGCATTGGAATAGGTTACCAAGGGAGGTGGTGAAGTCACCATCCCTGGCAGTGTTCAAGAGGGATCTGAATCCAGCGCTGGATGATGTGGTTTAGGGGTTGCAGTGGAAGTGCTGGGTGCTTGGCTGGACTGGATGCACTTGAGAGTCTCTTCCAACCTAGACAATTCTATGATTCTATAAATGGCTTCAAAAATTTACAAAAGTGAAGCTTCTATAAACAAATAGAGCTCACAGTCTGATATAGATCCTCCTCATCCTCTGAACTGACTCCTTGTTACACGATGTAGCTGTATTAGAAGCATAGGAAGGCTTTGCTGTTTTTAATATGAGAAGGAAGTAGTATTCATTACAGTATACAACACTGAATGGCGGAGTTTAAAAATCATAATAAAAAAATTGTTACTCTTGGTTTGGTTTATTTGAATAAAACTTATTTCTGGTTTACTTTATAAATAGATATTCCAGGCTAGCCCCTTTACTGTGTTTTCAGATTTTCCAGGTTTCCCTAGCAATACCTTCTCAGTAAGTTTCAATATTTTCAGTCTAGTTATCATCTGCTTTAGTCCTTACTCAAATCTATTCTACACAAATATTGAGGACAGAAACTTGCCAGAATCGTGGTCCATCGAGTTTGGTATTCCAATTCTGGCATTGGCCAGGAGGAGACGATATGCAGAAGGAGCAAATTTCTGCAATATCAAATCTGGCTTTCATATCATGATGATCTCATCACAATTTCTGATAGTTCCTGCTAAGCCTTCTTGCCCTGATGAACGATTATCCCTTGAATGGACTAGGAAAAATACTTCTTTACTGTACTTCAGTGCTTGGGACCCCTTCTGTCTATCCCTGTTTATTGCATTGATGGAACTGTTGAATGCCTCATGTTTAATAGTTAATTTGGGGTTTTTCTTCTTCACTCTTGATTAAGCCAATAAAGTGAAGAAAAATGAAAAAAAGAAGGTGAGTGTGAGACCTACCACAGAAGGCTACATTCAGCATAATAGTTTTCCTTGGTCTTTGTTTCTGGGCATTGTCAGGTTTATATCTCCTTTGCCTTTGGCTTCCTGGGGGCTTGGTTTCAGAAGTTACTGCTCTGTAGGAGGTTGATTGCCACACCACAGGCATGTTTGGTTGAATACATAACTAGATTACATCAATTTTTGGTCATTCAGCATTTGAGCTGCATATCTATGCATTATGTATAGATATGCATCATGCTGAACCTAGAAACAGGAGTAATTAGTAAATAATTTTTCTTTTTCTTTTGTTTCTGGAAAGCAGGATCAGCAGAAGTCATCATTCACCTCAACTCTGTCAAGTGAAGCATCTTGTTCTCTCTCCTCTCCTGAAAGCACTTTCAATTCCCAAGAATCATCGTCTTCCTTGACATCCAAAGTGGTTTGTTCCGAGAGGCAGTCCTGGCTTGACCTGGTTAACAGCTCTGCCACGGAAGAGGGTGATCAGCCTTTAACGTTCTGCGTACAGATTCATTCCGACGAGGCACCAGAAGCGGTCTGTGCAGATGCAGCAGAAAGCCAGGAAGTCCGGCTTTCTGAACCCAATGGTGGATCCCAAACCTCTTACTTAAGTGCAGATACACATTGTCTAGCTGTGTCAGATGCAACAGGACAGCGATCACTAGCCAGAGGTGAGCTAATGAGAGAGGAGACTTTTGCTGCAGAGCCAAACAATACAAGAGTTACGGGTTTCCTTAACTTCCTTCCCTCCTTCCTTCCTTCATATTCTTCACTGAAGAGTTTTCCAGTGGCACATCATTCATAACATTTAAATTATTGCACATTAAATATATAACCTAGTATTTGGTTTGTAGGTACCTTTACAACTTTTCTCAAATTGTATCTGTTAGACCATAACCTCTGTGTATAACTTTAGCATAGACATAATTTTATTAACAGTCTTTATTTCAAGGCAGATATCTTTTATTAGTCAGGATTGATTCAAATGTTAACAAAGTGTGTCACAGAATGGACACTGTAACAAAACTGTAATATGTAGAGAACAGTGAACGTAGGAACAGTGAACACAGGGTTAAGTCAGTCCAATTATACAAATCTGTGCTACTGCATTTATTCAAAGTACATACTCCCTATTTGCTTCATTAAGCTTCATTGTAATCAAGAGAAAACAACTGAAATCCTGAATCAGAAAGTCTATTAAGACTGGATTTGTTTAAGAAAATAGGTGTCTGCACAGTATCCTCCTACTGAAATTTACTGCTAATTGAAAAAGGTGGCATGGTTCCACAATTTGGTCATTGTAACTGTTCGTAACTCTCCTGTGTAGCGAGGAAATATCTCCTGCCTTTTGAGCAAAGCTTCTTCTTTCTGAATTACAAGCAGTTAAAACCTAAGAGTTGTTCCTGGCATACAGTTCTGAGTAGAGAGGTAATACATAAGGGAACAACAACATTCCAGTGCCTCAGCTCTTCCCATGATTCCAAATCCATGTAAAGATTTGAAGTGCGTACTTTGTTGCTGAAAGAGAAGGGTTGTCTCAGCACAATGCAAAAGAAAGGTGCATCTAAGAGCTTAGACTGAAAGTAATGCAGTGGTGGAAAGAAACAACATTGGAGTTGTTGGGAAATCAGGGCATTTCTCTGTAGGTGAACTTGATACAGAAAGATGATACTATGAGGCACATTAGTTACCTGGTCAGTCCCCTGTTTTACAAATATTGACCCTTAGCTAACACCCCTTCATTTTGTCATACCTTTTCTGATTTTACATGAAAAAAAAGGACATTAAGAAAAGTAAAATTTTCATCAAAAGTGGAAATTGACTCCATGTTTTATGCTCACCTACCTTATCCATTTTGTAGGCTTTTCTGCTAGAAAATTCTGCAGCAATGAAAAGCAGAAAGAATTAAAATCCAGAGTGAGCATATGTGCTGTTTCTATGTATTGGAAAAGAGTGCTGTGCTTTGAGTTACTGTGGAATCTAATTCCCCTAATTCTGGCTTTTCAAGTTGTGAAGAGGCTGGAGCTGGCAGAAATGGAGTCCCTAATGAAAAAGTCACAAAGTCATATTAAATATATTGCTTTCTGTAATTTTACCTTCTGAGATAAATTTGATAAAATAATCTCTTTGGAAAACATCATTAGGGATATTCAAGTGGATTGTTGGAATGTAGGTCATAAATGGCATAGTGGCTTATAGATCCTGTTGACAAAGATTCAGTGGCTGCTCTTCAGAAATCTAAACTTTTGCTTAGAATATATTCCTCTGATATCATCAGAAATCCTGCAATAATGTGTAAGTTATTGCTTTCCATTGTAATGTAAGGGTGACAAATACTTTTATGGATGTCATAAAACGTGCATGATCATAATCACTTTCATAATCACTTAAATAAGTTTGATAGGCTCAATCATACTAACCAAATGTAAATCAAGGCACATTTTGGTATGCTCCTGCAGAGTGCAAGTTGGTTCAATTTTGATAAGATTATTCCTGGGGAAATGAATTCTTCTGTTGCTCACTGCTTAGCTGATGGGCAAGCCTGATGGCAGAACACAGAACAATTCCATCCAAACCATGGTGGTGATGGCTGACAGAATTCCAGAGATAGATCATTTCACCAAGACAGTCACTACGGAAACTGTATACCCTCACTAGTTCTTGTCTGCATCATAACCCATTGCTGACCAAGTAAACTTACACCAGACTCAGGTCTGTCTCTCCTTTATCAGTCTGCATATTATGGGCTGGGTATGGAGAGTGCTGCTGTGTGGGACCCTCCCCTGCAACGGGCACTGAAAACATTGAGGAAATATTTTGCAAGGAGATTAAGCTACTTCAATTTTAGCATGAAGTAGGAGAAGAAGGATTAATGTAAAATAACATTTCAGTTCCAAATGAAAATTATCAAAAAGGATGCAATTCTGGCTCTGTGGCTCATCCCCCAAGAATTTCCCTCTCCAGCTAGTTGACAAGCATGTGCATAAATACTGTGAGATGAATTCAAGTTGTTGGGTAAAATCCATCTGCAAATTCTCCTGATTTGCAATAACTGGTAAGAACACTCTTGTTATTTGATGCAAAACAAGAAGGCATACCTCAGTGCAGTGGGTATTATTTGCTTTACAGTGCTTCTGAATAGTGTTTCTGACATGTTTCAGAGTTATGAGACTGAATCCAGGAGGAGACAAGTCTGTCTTTTGCCCACATTTGTCCTGAAGGCACATGTTCCCTGTGTGGAAAGATGCCTCTGCTGTCATCAGAACAGCTATGTTCTTTGATAGCCTTTGATCCCAGTCCCCCACAGAACCTATGGGTGTGTCTATGCTCTCTCTTTCTCCTGGTGAGAACTGTTTTCTGGCCACATTCTTCAAGGTAATTCTTCAAGGTAAAACCACAAGTTGAATTTTTGGTTGTAGCTGATAGGAGCCTAGAGTTGAGGTGAAAATTTTCTAGAACTGAACAGCACTTTTGCTGGACAAAGTCTAGAAATGGAGACCAATGTGAGAAAAGTTGGTACCTAAAAGGAAGAAAGAGTAGTTGTGGTTTTGTGGGAAGAGCTTACCATGAAAAAGTACAAAAACAGTGAAGAAAAATTAGAAAAATAAGAAAAGCTACAGATTCAACTAAATGATGATGGTTTATTTTTTCTACAGAAATTATTTAATGAACTCTGCTAAGCAACTGTGGGAGTCTGGTGCAAGGAGCCATAACACATGATATTTTTAACAATCTTTCCAACCACTCTTAGTGGTGTTATGAACTTTGTCAGCATTAACTCTCTGCACCAGTTACTGGGGAGATGTTACATACCAGAGAGTGGTACAAAGAAGGGGAGTATATAATTTTTCTCTTTTGAAAGGAGGCCAACATTATGCATCCATTTACTTTTTGGGAATATTTAAGACTTTGGCGATGCAGCTTGCTACATGCAGAGTGACAAAGGATTCTAAGCTGCCTGTGATGCAAAGAAACTGAAAGGTAAACAAGAAACAGCTGAGAATACAAGCAGCTGTCTGACTATGTGCACTGTATCCAGAAGCTGGCCTTGGCTCCTCCAGGATGGCTAGACACGCTCTCCAGCCAAACTCCATCCTTTGTATTTCTTCTGGCAACCACTGGGAGAAAAAGTATATGACCCTGACACAGCACCATTGCGATCAAAAACCTCAACAGCTAAAGGAAGCCACAGGAACTAAGAGGTTATATAAGAAAATAGTAATGTGTGTTCCTATTTATTTAGGGATCTACTACTATAGCAGTAAGATCCGTCTTCCCTGCATTTTCTGAGGGTTTCATGATCGTATGAAGTTAATGTACTTTGGCAAGGCATTCCTATTTTACCACTTGTGGTTTATTTTACCTTAGCTCACAGTAGCTGTGGAAGATCTGGTGTGTGATGATATTTTCAAACCTGGACAGCTTTTCAAATACCTCTTAGATTTTATCTGGGTTTGTTTTGTGGGAAGGAGTTGGTTAAATAGGAGCTGGATTCATTCGATTCCTTCTGTTCTCACGACTGACATCCTCTTCCTCTCCGGAGTCTGCCTGTGCCAGTAATAGCCAGAACAGATCCTCTGGTGTGCTCTGGCCCCTTTGTTCCTTCTGCAAAAGTTACAGAAAATAGCTAGATCATGGCTGAGACTAGATAAGAAATGTGCTTATGGCGAGAACAACTGTGTAGAGAAACAACTTTAATAATTATTTTGTTTCTCATCAAAAAAGCTTTAGAAATCACAGTGAAAACTATGGTGCTATGATTTTCTGAACCTCCTGAAAAAGAGATACTTATTTATGTTGTTATTTATTTTTATTAAAATTCCATCCCTCACTGCTGAGTCCACTATACTGTCAGACAGCAGCATCTGATTGTGGTAACATAGTTTTCCTATTATTTTTTTTCCAGTCTTTCCTCCCTTTGTTCTGCATTTGCCAGTGAGAAGTTTGCCTGAGTTATGCTCTCCTAATTGATTTTTTTCTGTCTTTTCTGTTCCATAATTATGTGGGAAATGTGATTTCCCTGAGATGACTTCATATTCCCATCGAAAAGTCTAGTACCAGTGTGGAGAAGGGCTAGGGGGTGGATAGGTAGGTAAGGGCAAAAATAATCTATGACTTTTTTCCTTCTGCTCTTTTCAGCCCTGGTTGTATGTGTTCTCTCGACTGGTGTAAAAAGTTTTAGCAGAATCAGAAACAGAGGTGCTGGCAAAGCTACAAGATGCTTGTAATAGTAGCAAGAACAGGAGGAAGAAGCAGAGTTTTTTCCCTGGGATTAATACACAACTGGGGGCCTGTGAGATCTCATTTACAAAATGGGAGAACAAATATTTACATTTCAGATAAATTTAGTCAGATACGTTCTGTTGGAGGGGGTTTTCAATGCAAAATGCTCTTACTGCCAAATATTTCCATTTTCTTTATCTTTACTACTGGGAAACAACTTTATTTTTCACAGATGCTTTTTGAAAACTCTGGATAATTTCACATATGTAGGCCTAAAGAACATTAAAGCTGAGATTTCAGACAGGCTCCTGTACTGCTCCAAGATGGAGAGTCTCAAAATCTTAATGTCTCCAGCCTCTGGCAAGTTGGCTGACAGGGGAGCGGAAGCTGGAAATTGAGGAGGTGAAGAATAGACATGTTGACCCTCTGGGAGGTTGTTCTCATCTGTCGTACCTCCTGTTAGAGGGAAAATCCAGATAAATGGCATCAAGCCTCAGAATTGTGTTTTTAGTTCCCCTAAATCAGAATTTTTCAGTTCCTCCATTACGTCTCTCCCTTTCAGATTTACAGCATCAATCTAATGCATTCAGTGGCAGCTTCAAGCCTGTAAAATGTGGGCTTTTTCTTTCTGAACTTGGCTCAGGGTTACTCAGGATGCTGAAGGTAAAATTCCAGATAGGTAACAGATAGTCTGGCCTCAGTTTATAGAGGTTTATTGGCAGACATATCCTTTGTCAACACCAACAGTGTTCTACACAAACACACAATATTAGGAGGCTCTCTTACTTTTTAGTTGTAGTTGAAATTCATCAAAGATGGAGACAAAAGTGCTGTGTAACTCGTACCTGGCTCTATACAACCTGTAAGTTCCGCTCACCCTTGTTTTTCAGTAGTTTGCTGAAATTCCATTTAGTCCTTTATCCACCTGATATGAAGAATCTTTCCTTTCCCTTTGAAATTACCTGACCCTGATTAATCCCTTGGAGGATGAGAATGGTGGAAGAATAAGAAATAGGAAAGGAGTTTCAGCTAGAAGTCTTGAAAGTCTGCAGGAGCTGAGTACACTTTGCTGGGCAAGTGCATCATCTGGGAGCCTTCTCCTGGGTTTTCTGACTTTGGCTCCATCTTTCTCTGCGCTGAATGTTACTGTGCTCCTTACAGTTTCCCACAAGTGCATGGAAGATATCAGATTATTCAGCATGAAAGAAGAGTGATCAGTGAGGGTGTTTTCTCAGGCTTGTTGTTTTGTAACCCTCTTAGGATACTGAGGAAGTTCATGAGTTAGTCTCCAAAGGTGTCTGGAGCAGGGACCTTAAGTCCCCTCTGGGCTGACTTTGTGTAAAAGTTGCTGAGCAGGACTGAAGCAACTTTTTTCCCTTCTTACACAGTCTTTCTTGGATAACTGATAAAAATCAATTTATCTCTCAAAGTATTACTGTGCACAGTCCTGGTGGGTGATGTCTACAGCAGAGTTGAGCCAGTCCGGTGCAGAAGCTAGCTAATGAAACAAACAGCTGCTTCATCCCAAGAAAGTAGGCAGGAAACTAGTTATTGCAAGCCTCATGGCATGTACCAACAGCTTTCAGGAAATACTATTGCTGTGTATTATGCCTTACACTTCCATTTTTTTCCTGTTTCCTGCAGCTTGTTAAATATACAACAGTTCTCCTTTTCCTCCCCCAGCAATGTACCAATGTTAGAAGTTATATTTAGTTTTTGTAAAGTTACAGTAGGCTTTTTATAATCACACAGTAGTGAAGAATAGGCCAGAAACACAGAGAAGGCAAATATTTGCAGCATATCATAAACCTTTCTCGTAACCTAAATATTTAGAAAGAACAGAGATGTAGGAGGATGCTGTACTTTATAAAACATGGAAAAGATAAGAAGCAGCCTCCTTAGCATGCTGACATATTGCAGAATTATTTTCGCAGCAGCATGAGTGAGCAGAAGGACTTGTTCCTTTTGTTCAGGATATATTTGCTGACTGCAGATGATTTAGAAAAGTAAATATTTAACTTTAAAAAAAAAAAAAGTGCCAAGCCAGTTCAATGGGAATAGGAAGGACTGCAGTATAGAAGAACCAGCACCACTGCCCCCAGTGATATGACACCAGTTGTTATCCAAAGTGGATCTTGAGGGATTCATTAGCACCCTGAAAAGAGCAATAGCTGTAAGACTTTCCTTTAGAGATGACTGAAGCTGTGTGGACTGAAGGACAAGAAGCGAGTTGTGCAGTCTGTTGCTAAAAATGGCCTTCTGCTAAAACACCCCTACATATGCCTGGCACATTTTTAATTTCCGTCTGTTCATTTTTAAGTTGTTTTATTCTGAGAAATGCCTTTGCTTCAGTTTTCATCTTATTTTATGCTATTCTCAGTTGTTACTCACTTTTCTCCTTTCGTGTACTCTGTCTTGGAAGATGGTCCTGCAGCTTGGGAGCCAACAGAATTATTAAGGTGGAGATAATCAAGATTTTGTTGTGAGGCATTACAAGGAAATTATCTGTGGCAATCTGTGAAACTCAGGGGCAAGACATTGGATGCCCCAAGGGTTCTTGCTTTAATCTGTTTTCTAGGGACCTTCTCTTGCAGCTTCTATGTTTCTTTTAATTGATCATTTTTTTTAAACTCTGTTTCCAATGATTACCAAAACCTGGTGATGAATCAGCACACCAAAGAGAATTTGCCCCATGAGTTGCAGGGTAGAAGCATAATTCACTGCATGTAGCATGCAGGCAGGGGTGAATGGGTGTAGATGCTATCAGAGTTGTTTCATTCAACATAGAGCTACTGATAGTCGTTCAAATTCTGTTATATATTCAGAGCATTAAAGCAGCACTCTATTAGTGGAGATACAGGCTCACATCTGTTTGGATCATTAGCTGATTGTTAACAACATGTGAGTTTGGAAGTACGTCTTTCTCATAGGCAATATTAGCCTAAAAATTACCCTAATTGCCCTTAGTTTTAACTCTAATATAATTATTTTTTGAGTTGGTTGAGAGCCTTCCTGACAGCTGAACATAACTTTTCTGTTATCTGCTGCCACATTCATGCTCTCGTACCCAATTTATTCTTTTCCTTGCAGACCAGGAAAAGTGTGATGATGATGATGAGATGGAGCGACTTTACAAGTCATTGGAGCAAGCAAGCCTGTCTCCCATTGGTGATCGTCGGCTGTCAACTAAGAAGGAGCTTAGGAAGTCATTTATCAAGCGCAGCAAAAACCCCTCCATTAATGAGAAACTCCACAAAATTCGAATGCTAAACAGTACATTAAAGGTGAGTTTGTAGATCATGCCAAGGAAAAGCTTGAGAGAAAAAAACAGTTTGGCTGAAAAAAAAGCAGTATAGGCTTCAGCCAAACTCTAATTACATATTTACTGAAAGCCCCAGAGAATTCTCTTGAGTTTTTGAATTCTTTTTTTCTGCTTCATTGTGAACACTGATCTGTGTTATGTTGTTCAGCTTGAACTGGAAGCAGAAGCAATAGCTCAGGAGGGACTCTTCTTGCAGAAGTTCCAGCCCATTTGGAAAATTTAATAAAGAAAACTCTTAGTTAACTGGAAAACTTGCAAGCTCAGCTAAATGCACTAAACAGGGGAGCCTTAAAAAAGGAAGAGCAGACAAAGTATGTTGATGATAAAGGACATGAAAATGACCCCGAGCCAAAAAAAGTTTTCCTTATGTGATTATCAGAGAATGTACAGGATGTGCCAAAGCTATTGTAAAGACCTCCTGTAACTAAAATATTTCTAATAACAAAAGCATCCTGCTTTTATGTTGGAAATATATCACGAACTGGAGGGGTACATGGGTTCAGGAGACATTCCATGAAAGGGCCGGTAAATCTGTCTGGAATATGGGAATTTATGTAGTGGTTTACTTGCCAGCATCAAGTGTCATGGGATTTCAAAGCCTGCTTCTGAATGGTACTGAAGGAAACAAAAAGCTTAACCATAGCATTTATATTGTAAGGAGAAGACAGAATAAATGGAAACTTGAGGATTCACTTGTTTCTTTTCATATGCATTAGAAGCAGGAATTGAGTATGTTGTTTCAATGGATGTATTTGGCTTCAGGCACTGTAAAATGGTTGTACTTGATGATCTTAGAGGTCATTTCTCCACAGCTGGAGAAATGCATGTAAAATGGTTGGACTTGATAATCTTAGAGATTTTTTCCAACCTTAGCAATTCTATGATTCTAAAAAGTTATCCTGCCAGGACAATCATTGGTTTGATTATTAGTTGCAATGGAATGCTTGGGTTTGGCACCTCAGCCTGTATTGAAATTCCTGAAAAGTAAAGGGGATTGGGAAGAGAGGCATCCTTCTTGGCTCTGTATGAAACCTGGTGAAGTCTTTCCTTAGTATCAAAGAGTTTTCAGAGATGTGGCAGTGACTACAGAAGTATTCATTTGCACCAGCAGTAAAGTGAGCCCCCCACATAGCAGAAAGTTAGTTTAAAAAGTACACCTACTTCCTAGGATAGGAAGCTACATACAGAAACATTATGCAAGGTTTTCCCTGACAGGACCCTCACTAATAAATCTAAGAACCAGGTAGTGCAAAATGGAGTTGTATTTTGTGGGACAGTCATTTTCATAAGTATGGAGCTGAATGGAAACCTTAATGTCAGACATGAGCAAGGAGGACAATGGTGCATTGATTTAGCATGGGAGTATTATATAAGTTGTGATTAACTTAGGCTTGTCTAACACTTGTATTTAATAAGGAAAAATAAGATTTGGAGTGCTCATAACGTATAAAATATGTTGATCTCTTTGGGGTTTTGGGGTTTTTTCTTTTTTTTTTTTTTCTCTTTTTCTTTTTTTTATTGGTTGTGGGTTTTTTGTTTTGTTTTGGGTTTTTTTTTGTTTTTTTGCTTTCTTCAAACTAAGAACCTGGAGTATTGGCAAGACAAATAAAAAAGCACAGACACTTGCTCATAGACACAGAGTTCTCTACACAGCAGTCTTTAAGTTAGCCTGTCTGAAAGTCAAGTGCCTGCAGTGGGAAAGTGACATATTAATTACATCAATGGAATTATGTGCTTTTAGAGTAAATTTTCTTAATATATAATGTAAGACGTAAGATAATTGGAAATGATCTACTGGAAATTTAAAAATCAGGATTTTTTAGATCCATATGTACTCTGTTTTAATTAAAACCCTGTTAGTTTGAGAAGTGATTTATGCAAGTCTCAATGCAATTTTAATTTTAGACTTTTGACTCCATGTATTTAACAACAGATTAATGTTGCTGCCACAATATATCATTAACAAAACATGCTTTGAATACTTTGGAAGAGAGGGAATATGTGTGCAAATGCATCACAGTCTTAGTGAATGTGGAAAATAGTTTTAGTGCTACAGGAGAAATTCCATAGCATGACTTTTTGCTGCCAAGTTTGTCCGGTCAAAATATTCCTCTTCTTTCCACCTCCCTATCTCCTCTCTTCTTCTCTTAAGCTAACTGCACATATCCCTGCATCAATGCCAGAAGTCTTTAAAGAGCTGGCGCTGGGTCTTAAGGGTAGGACATGTAAAATACAGTTGAAGAGCTTTTGGGTTTAGAAAGCAGCTGAGGCATGACAGAAATTGGAGCAGTTGAAGCTTCATTAGAGTAGCAGTGGGATATGGACGTAGAAACAGCTGATTGCTGCTATCAGAAGGTGAAATGAATGTGTGGGAGTACTTTCAAGGTGTTTTCAAGGCAGCCCCCAGCACAGGGTGTCCTTGGGTATGATGAATGGGTGGCAGCAGAAGAAGATGGTTAGAACTATTCCATTGCTTTCACACACGGACTGCAGCGAGAGAGCCCGGCAAAAGTAGCCGTGTTGTTAGAGCAGCGTGGTGCCTTCATTAATAAATTATACCTGCTCACTGGGGCTTCTCTGTCCTGTGGTCCATGGATAGGCAATGTGGTCTGGAAAAGCGAAGTGGTTGATTATGCCACAACATGTGAGGACATCAAAGAACATCAGTGTGTGAAAGGAGGGTGAAGACAGAGCCAGGCTATTTTCAGTGGTGCCCAGTGGCAGAACCAGAAGTGGTGGATTCAAACTGAAACACAGAAGGTTTCCCCTGGATAGCAAGAAACACTGTGAGGGAGACAAAGCACAGGTTGTCCAGGGAAGCTGTTGTGTCTCTATCCTTAGAGATATTCAAGACTCATCTGCACACAGTCCTTGGCAGCCTGCAGTAGGTGGCTCTGTTTGAGGAAGGGTTTTGGACCAAATGACTCCCAGAGGTCCCTTCCAAGCTCAACCGTTCTGTAGTTCTGTGACATACAAAGTCTTGGTGTCCCTGCATCAGTCACTGCTCACATCTTACAAGTGAAACAGGGTGCCTGCAATGTATGGACTGAGCTGCTCTTGCCTAAAAGTAGATACTAGATTTATTAGCAGTAGCTGGTGGTAGATGGCAGACACAGGTACTGTAGCCACTCTACTGCCAGTGCACAAATTATATCCAAAATTGTGTTCAGTCCAACTCCCAGAGAAGAGACATTTATTACATGGAACAAGTGTTTTTTGAGAAAGTTTGAACTGCTGTGAATTACAGAAATAAATGCTGTTGTGTCTCATTTCATGCAAGTACTGTCTTGTTGAGAGACAAAATAACAATGTGTAATTTTCACATGAATCTTCTTTCATCAAGTTCTGTTAAGAAGCCTATAAAATATCTAGATGAAATCATACCTTGCCTTTAACTGGGAAGAATTTTTACTGTAGCATATCTTTGATGACCTATGCTCTAAAAATGGGAACAAGCTGCCAGGAGGATGGCCATCTCCTTGTGACATGAGTCTAGTGTTCCCAGAGTGTTTTTGTTAGGGACAATGGTCTTGACATTTTCTGTGGAAATAACCACTTGTTCTCTTCCTAGTGTAAGGAGCATGACCTGGCCACAATCAACCAGTTGCTAGAGGACCCAAAGTTGACAGCGGTGAAGTACAGAGAGTGGAGGAGCACAAACATCATGCTGGTCCAAGATATTTATCAGCAGCAGGAGGTCCAGGACATGTCCACAGAGAATAGTGAAGAGCAAGAAATGACTCCACGGCCAGTCACTGAAAGTGCTATTTGATCAATGGCACATGGCAAGATTTTTCTCCACTGGTCTTCACATACATACAATTTAAACTGCTGTATCTTGAGGATTGTTTTTTGTGAGTGTGCTTCAAAAGGAAAACAACCCATTCTCCAAAGTTTTAAATGCTTCTGCAGAAGTCATTTAATGTCAAATGGGCAATTTCCCCAAACTTGCCCAAGTTGCCCAAAAAAGCACGCCTGAATGTGGCCTGCATACATAAGATTATTTAACAAAGCAGCAAAGAAACGTTTTTCAGTTTTTGGAGAAGAAAATTATAAGTGTCCAGCTTCTGGAGGACACAGAACTATGTAATATGTACTGTATAAATATGAGATCCTTGGGATTGTTTTAACCATACAACTTACCATGAAATGAAGCTAACATGATCCCAACAGGAGGTAGTCTACTCTACCTTTTTACCCTTAAGGTAACTCAATGTATACATTTTCATCTCTGTACCCATTTACTTTCACCACTCAACCAGTTTAAACAGAGACAAATGGAAGAGTAATTATGAATGAGTTGATACTGTAGACAGCTGCCAGGCACCCAGTTTGGGCTCTGCCTGATGTTTTATGAGTTTCAAATTTATTTATGGTCCAGACCAAGAAGGTACTGTCTTTCTACATGAAGAAGAGATCTCTAAGGTTTTGCTAACATGTAATTTACTCTTCAGTGAGACAAGATTCAACTTTTCTTATGGACTTGGCAGAATTCCTCGGAAGATTATGTTCTTCTTTCTTATTTTTGACAATTGGGAGTATATAAGGTACAAGTTCATCCCAGAGTCCAGCTTAAGGAAGGTGATCATATTCACAAGCCAGAAGCTAAATGACTCAACTCCTAATGTGGACCTGGAAGTGTAAAACAGAGCTGCAAATATTTTTGTAAATATATGTAATTTTATGACTTATATGAATGTGACTATGTATTGTATAGACGTTTTATTTATATATTTATATATGCTGAATTTCCTAATATAAATAGGCACATGTGGACCAAGCCCACCCAGCTGTGAGTGCTTACAGATTGACTTGAAATGCCTCTTTATTTTGTGTTCCATTATAGATCACAGTAATGTCTTTGCAGCTGAGACTACCCTGAGGCATATGCTGTGACCCTTTCTTCTGCTTTTCTAGCTTTGAGTTTTAGATGAAGAAAATCTGTACAAGTTAGGGCCTGAAAGAAGTTTTCTAGAGAGTTTCAAGATTTCCCTTTGGGGGAAAAAAATAAGAGGTTTTGCTGCAGGATCATGTTTTTTTGGCTTCATTGTCCTCAGTACAAGGTTTTGGGCCTTTGCCTTCCTCTCTTCTGCAGGATTTTGCAGAGTGCTGAATTTTGAAAAGCAAGAATTAGTCCACCATTCCCAAATTAATGTCACTATAGGAACTGTGACAATCTGCAGTTGTGTTGCTATTTCACGAAAATATTCCTTGTCATTATTTTTCAATACAGTATATATTTTAAAGCAAAATACACAATAGAGATGCAGCCATATTCATCTCTTTATACATTTTATCTTTTATCATAGCTTGATTGAGAAAACAAAAGATAATGGTGTTAGTGGGAACATACAAAATATTTTCCACCTGTGTAGTGATTTATTTGACTGTTGATACTGCATTTTTAATACTCAGCAGCTTTTCTTTTGAAACAGTGTCAAGGAAATAGATGAAAATAACTAAATGGGGAAGCAGACACAAAACCCTCGAAGGTTAAAAAGTTATTCTTTTCAGGAAATCATCATATGAACAGTGATTTTATCACTTCACTAATTCTAACTAGAAGTTAAGCAAGAGAAATACCTGGTGCAATTTGTTTGGAGTAATTGCATCTTAAAAATTGAGCCCATTTTTAGTTTGCTTTGTTTGTTCTTCTTCTTTTTTTTTTTTTTTTTTTAATAATTCTTCCACCATTCCCATTGAAATGCTGTCAATTAACTGCTGAGAGCACCCTGAAGATTAGGAGTGTAGGGATTCATCTGCTTGGTCCATTTAATTTTAACTACCTGGTGCTAAGTAATGGATAAATATTGGAGGACAAATTGTGTGTAGATTTTCTATCGCACATGTGAGTTTCTCATGAAACAAAGCATGTAAACACTGTTTTCCTTTAAAATCGTCTTCACTTAGATGTTGACAAGCAGCACATGCTTAAGCGGCCTGTTGAGCTGGGCCAGACAAGCCAGTGCCTTGCAGTTCTGAGCAAAGCCTGCGTCGACTCCATTTGCTGAAGTAGATTTGCTGTATACAAAGAAAAGCCTATGTGGCCTGCACATGCTGAGTTGGCTGTTTTCACACTGCACTTGTGTAAGCATAGACAAAACAGCTTTCCCAAATCTAGAGACAATGCCCTTGGACTGCCCAAATGCCACTATTGGTTTTGACAGATTACATGGCCTGAAATTGCTTTTAAATTACTCTCTTTCAGATGGTCAGTAGATACTTGTTGTTGGTAGAACCCATGATCAGTAGGTCTCCGAAACCTCAATAGTTTTGGAGACCGACTGATCATGGGTTCTATCACCACTTAGAAAAGAACAAAAAATTCTTGAATGGGGTTACTTTAATTCCAGTTATAACTTTAACAAATTTCTTTGTTCAGGAAAACAAATGTATGGGTTTATGCAAGTACTGTGCAGGAAGTCTAACTCCACTCTCTTCAGCTACTACTTGGACTCAAAATAATGGAAAGCGTGGAAAATGCAAAATGAAAATTGCAGAGGAACAGGATTAATTTTCTGGCATTGCTAATTACTGTGACATTTTTTGCCTGGGTTTATCACAAGGGGCTGCCCAGCAGCATGAAAGCCATAATCAGAGACAGAATTACGCACAAGCTGACAGCTACAGTGGGGAGCCACCTCAACAGGAGAAATTTGGACAAGTCTGTGCTCTGCTCAGTGATGCTTGGAGTAACTGGTATTTCTCGGCCTGAATTTGGAAGACCTGCACTATTGACTCATAGCACAGGGAGCTGTGCATCCCTAGTGTGTGAATGTCAAGAAGTCTTCAGCCATCTGCCTCAAGGGACATGTTTTATATACATTTTTGGGAGAAAGTATGTGTGTGTGGATATGTGCACATGCACAATTTTCCTTCTGTCAGTAAAGCCAGCTGGTGCAGAAAGTCCAGCAATGGAGATTTTGGAATTCCTGGTAACAATATCTAATTTCAACTGTTTCTGCAGCTTTTCTGGAAATCGAATCTCTGTTCTGGCAGTGTACATCTCATGAGATACCAGAATGAGGTGGGATCACATTTCCTTTCCTATGATGGAAGAGATTTCATGTGGGGATTGTGAATATTTTACATCTAGCTCTGATGATTCAATCAATACTAGGGTTTCACCTTGTCATGGTTTTAAGTGCAGATGGAGATGAAACACCATGCAGTTGCTTGCTCAGCCCCCCTCTCTTTTCCTTCCCCATCCCTGTGTAATGGGGAGTAGAATTGAAGTAAAAATTGTAGGCAGAGACAAGAAAGGTTTTATAATTTAAAATAAAGTAAAATATAACAATAATGGTAAATAATGATAATGATAAGGAAAGAAGCCCAAGCAAGTGATATACAATGCAATTGCTCATCACCCACTGCCAGACCCCTCTTCCCAAACTCAGATCAGGCCCCCCTCACAGGTAGCTCCCCCCAGTTTATTTACTCGGTATGGCATTTAAAACTCCGTGGAAATTCAGAATTTAAAATTATTTCTAACTTCGAAAAATTATGGGTGTGTTACATCTATTGTGTGAGCCTGTAAGCTTACATGTCTCTTACAGATTTAATATGAAAAACGTGCATTTTTAAACTTTTCAAGTAGCAAAGGAGCCCATGAAAGCATACTTTTATGAGGGGAACTCCGTGTGCTGTGATTGGCTTTTGGGCTTTGGCCCTTTTTTTCACTCTTTTGCTTGTTTAGTCATACAAAAGTAGCCAATTGTAACCAACTGTACCCAAGTGAGGGCCTGAGTTTACTTCACTTATATGAGACATGCCTTTCTGCTAACAGGAAGCCAAAGTGGTTTTCTTGTAGTAGTACAGCCCAAGTGGAATTTCCTGTTTTGTGCGAGGTGTTCAAAGCAGCAGACATTTTAAGATGTCAGTGAGCATTTCCTTGATGCTTGAAGATTCGTCCCATTTTGGTTTGCTTCAAGCTGCAACATTATTGCATTTTTTAAAAACTGCCTTCAATCTGAACTGAAAGAAAATTTGAGGTGGAAAAAGGAAAATAGAACAGAAAAAAGCTTGGAGCTAAGATCATGCTGAAATTCACATCTCTGCATAGGGTAGTAGGAGCTGAGCTTGCCAAAATCTAAGCATTTCAACATTGAAAAAAATTGTAAGGTGTTGAAAAGAGTACTACATTCCTTGAAATTTGCTATGGGAGAAGTTCCAAGACCTGTCTGGTCTGGAAAAATGAATATTTTCCTAATTTATTTCCTCCTGATAAAAATCCAGAGGGGGTGGTTTATAAGATGGCAGCAAGTTAAAGATGAAAGATGCATGTAATTCATTGATAGCTCAACAACCTTGATGTATGATCTGGAAATGGTTGACTTTAGATGACTCAGCTTGTAACACTCAGCCTGTAAAATCCATTTCTTTGGGAAAGCATTGTAGCTACCAGTGTCTGGAGCTTATGTACCCTATCTGGTCCACATGAGATTAATTTTGAAGATGTAGGTGAATGGCCTTTCTATAGGGCAAATAGTTTGTATCATCATGCCATAGCTTAGGAACCACTCCCTGTGTCCTAGATGCCTTAACAGCTGCCCAGATTATTCTGACTCTTGAAGCTGCTTATGGCAGTTTTATCTTCTCCCAACTAAAAATGAAAAGAGGATATGAAAGCACATCTCCCACTCCCACATGAAGAAAAACTAGCACTAGTCTGGCAGAAATTAATGTAAGTCACCTTATTTATGAATGTTTACCAAAATAACTCACCTGGTGAAAAGCCATTTGTGCACACAAATAGCAGTGCTCTTGTGCCAAGCTTTCAGTGCTGAAGACTGGCCCAAAGGAAGAACGGATGTATCTATCCCACTGTGCTCTGTATAGAGAGGAAATTTCATGTACAGAAGAAGATTTACAAGGACTTCTCTCAGGCATTGGCAGGGCCTGCAGCACCACAAAAGTACATGGGATTCAAATTCAGTATTTTATCTGCTCAGTCTTTTTTCTTTTTTTTTTTTTTTTCACTAGTTTAAAACTCACAGCACAATGTTGCACTCAGCACTGCCTTTTTACTGCTTGTTGCCTACACGTGTGAATTGATTTTCATGGAATGATACACACATCTTGCAGAATGAGAGCCTTATGTTTGCACTTGTCAATTAAACACTGAAATGAGAGAATATTTTGCTCAGCCTTTTTTTTATTTCTTATTTTCACTGCAGATTTTTCAGTTTACTGCTATAAAAAGAAATAATTTTTTGCTCGTTCCTTAAGCAAGCAATTTCCCTGTGGGACTAATATTGTTATTAATTTGTATAATGTAAAACCAAGAAGAGTCGAGTAGTTTGACTGAGGAATGCCTTCTACTGGTTTACAATGTGATATTTGAAACTGCCTTTAAATTAGTTAACTCTAACTCTTACTTAGTTATTTTAGGCACCCTTTTGGAAGATCAGTCTCTTCTGACAGATATGGAAAATTACTAGATTCTTTTAAGCTCACCGAGCAGCTTGCTTCAATTAAAAGAAGATAGGTATTTTTGTCAAAAGGTTTTGTTTCAGTTTAGCTGGATAGGCCAGCCAGGTAGCAGTATGGTGAAAGTGTGTTTCCTAGGAAGTGAGCTTGTCCTAAGGGCTCAGCTGAAAAAAAGAATGTCCCTGTCTCTGTCCCCGCTCTTCCCCCAGCCTCCTACATGCTCCCACTGCTTGCCTTAGGCTAATCAGCTCATCATTTGGCACCTCTGTCAGCTCAGCCAAGTCAGACAGCAGGGAACAGACACAGCAAGCTGGATATTCATCTACAGTGATGATTACTGAAATTGCCTTATGGAGAGGTGTAGTGCCTGACAGAGTCCTCAGAAGGGATGCAGCTGCATTCTGTAGGCAGAAGCAGAAGGAAAAGGAGCTGTGTAAGTGGGAAGGAAGAGAGAGACTATTTCCTTTCAGAAGTAAAGCATTAGCTTGGCTCAGGTTCTCACAAAGTTATACCTTTGCTTCTACCAAGCAATGATTTTTTTTTTTCCCCCTGCTAGACAGGGAGTTGTGAAGACAACCTGAGGAAACAGTTTTGATGTGATCCCAGCCTGTGCTCTTGCTTTCAGTGCCTAATGCACAGCCAGACGTTTGGTTTCTGAGCCTGAAAACAGGATGAAAAAAGCATCCAATGTTACCTTTCTTTAGGATCCTTCCTGGCATGCTTGCTGTGGGAATGCTGACAGGAAAGGCACTGGAGCACCATATGTCTACCCTTATGCCTGCTGTAACACCTCACCTCACTGGCTTGGGCTGCCTCTTCTTTGGCTCTTGCTTTTGCTTTACACCCTCTTGTGGTGGTACAAAATACCAGCTGTTCCGACGTTTCGTAAAGGTATCGTTGAGTTGCTCATTATGATTGGGACACTTTTCTTTTGCCTGATTAAAAAAACCTCTTGGGCTTTATTTGGCTTGCTTCCTGTGAGCTTGGGATAGGCATGATCAGAGGGCAAAGGCTCCATTCCTGGCATTTGACCCTATTTCATTACTACTTATTTTGGAAAGGCTCAGTCATCATTCTTCTTATTATTGTGGCTTTTTCTTATTGCTGGAAGAAAGTGCCTAGAGTCAGTGAGAAAGTTCCTGTATTATCTTCCTGTTCTCAAGAAATATCCTCGTTATCACTATGGGATGTTTCAAATTGTCTAACAGAAGCCTTGGCAGTACATGAGATACAGTGTACAGCGACAAACTGCTCTGTTATTTTGGTGGGGAAACTGTATCTTTTCCCCTTCCACTTCTTGGCAAAGTGCTTTTGGTCTTGGGCAGACAAACAAGTTCTTGTATTGCCGGTGAGAAAACTTCTGCAAGCAGCTCTCAGCGTGTTCCTGAAGGAGAAAACTGATCCCTCAGCACAGCCTGCTGGCTGCCGGCAGCGCGACAAGCAAGGGGGGAAATGACAGGTTCGTATGTAAGAGGGGAAACAAAAAAATAAGAGGGTTTGCTGCAGGACCATGATTTTTTGGCTTCATTATCCTCAGCACAAGGTTTTGGGTTTTTGCCTTCCCCTCTTCTGCACCCCTAGAAGTTTGTGATGGTCTCAGCCCACATTTGAGGAAGTTTTGCAGAGAGGTGACAGCATTTACAGCAAGTGTGAAAATGGGAGATGCTGTCTGGGACACTGACCCTCTCCAGAGCTGAACAGAAGCAGTAAAATGAAACCGAGGTCAGTCTGGAGATAAAGATGCTCTGTGAGAAAGAGCAAGTGTACACCTGAGCAGCAAAGGCAAACACAAAGAAAAAAGAGCTGGTAAATTAGGGGATGTGGGGTAATTATTGGGTAATTATTGTCTGATGAAAAATAGATGGCATGGGATTAGTGGAACACCTCAACTGGCCATACAATGGATGGGGATGACTTTTAGTATCTGGTTATTTAACATCCATGTATCTCATCCAGTAATTTATTAATGCTGTTTTGCAGAGCACCCTAAAAGTTGAGGGTTCAGATGTCAGAGATTTTCTTTGGTGTAAAATGCACTTAAGGACCACATTTCTGTCCCTTGGAAAATGTTCTGTGCATGCCTGGTGAAACCCCAAAGCCACTGTCATGGTGTGTCACAAGAAAATAGCTGAAAATAGAGGCATTTCCAATGTCCTCAACCCTTGCATGTCCTGGTAATTGACATGCTTGCCTGTGCTCTTGCAGTCCTGTTGCTGAAGTAGAATCTTTGTTTCTAAGGTGCATTTTCCTAAATCTTATTTTTTTTACAGACAGTAAATTCAGTTCACCTTGGCTAGCATTTAAGTTCATATGTTATAGCAGCTATGAAGATGACTCTGCTAGGGGTGTCATTTGCTGTGAAATTTGGAAATTTTTCTCTACAAATGTCAGGAGGAGCTCCAAATCAGATTTTATACTATTGTAAAACACACATATTACCTTCCCAGATGATGTGATACTTCATCATGAGCATAATTTGTTTTCTGTGAAACAATTTATTCTGTTCATCTTGCTGCTCATGACATGAGGCAATTCAGGCAGCTGTGCAGTTTCTGAAATGTGTTATATAACACAAGAAAAAGAATGACTTATGATGCTGGTACTATTTGGAAGAAACAGATGACAGCCTCAGGACTGAGGCAGCAAACAAATCTCAGCACTTTGGAGACAGTGGCACAAGTGACATCCTCAAAAGAGCTTGTGAGAATTTTACTCATTAAAGAGAGAAAGGAAGCTTATCCCATAAGGAATCAGAGAAATGATGAAGGCAGAGTCTGTGTGACAGCACTGTTCACACAAAAAATCAGTGTGTGGAGTAAACCCTGGCAATAAAGTTCAGATGCAGGAAGGTGTGGACAGGTGTAGGAGCACAGGCGCTCTGGAGGATTGTAGGGTGACCTGGTTGAACCACAGCCCAGGCAGGACTGGACAGTGCATCAGCTGACATCTGAAACTAGCTTAATGACACAAGGCAAGAAGATCCCATGGAGAGAAAAAACAGCCTGCAAAACTGCCTTAGTTCCCAAGTTCTATTTGTTTCATAGACACCACCTGGCAAGGTAAGCAGAGCATCAAGACCATGATGCTCTTGGTGAACCATGTCTTGGTGTCAAGGATGGGAAGGTGACACGAGGGAAACCACAGTAAGTTCACTTCCCAAGGATATGTTTGCACACAAGAGGCAGCAGCACTTTGGGCCTGAGCTTTGGAGTGTGGCCTGAACCATGGGTAGGTTCAGTTCCCAAGGACATGTTTGCACACAAGAGGCAGCTGCAGTAGGTCAGCACTTTGGGCCTGAGCTTTGGAGTGTGGCCTGAACCATGATGCCACTTTTGACAATGTTCACAATTCAGTTTCTCCAGCCTTCAGTCTTTCAGTGATTTTGTTGCTTTGGAAGATATGAAATTCTACTCTGTGAGTTTACACCTTCCCTGATATGCTATCTACCTCCTGGATAGGATACAGTGATAAATTCTATTTATAGTTCAAGAAAGACACAGCTATCTCTGGGATCTTATGCCACCTGCAGCCTCCCAGAGTTTCACAGTAAAATTACTTTGGATGAGGATCTTTGAAACAATTTAGTACTCCTACTTTGTCTGTTAAAATTTACAATAAACAGCAGAAAAATAACTATAGACATACCTGTATTCCGTTCTTAATGTAGCAGATTAATTAGTTCCACTGCACTAAATTCACCTTTGGCATTCCATTTTTTAAAGAAAGAGATTTAGTTTTTTCTTTGATTCATTGAAAGTTTTGGAATAATTTGTAGCTGTAGTATCAGGCTAAATTCTTAAGAGCTACATTAGTGAGGATTATAAAAGTAGTACAGATCAAGATGAAAGAGAGACATTTGTTCTGTGTTGCTCCAATTAATCCTTTCAAATCCAGCAGCAGCCTTTCTGCAGCACATACCCACAGATTCACAGATGAAGGTGCTGATATTTGTTGCAACAAAATACCTTGAGCTTGAAGAAAGCCTGTACAATATTGAACACCCACAATACTTTTTTTTCTTCATAGCACTTTTTATATAACAATTTATTTCACTGCTCTTTGAAACAGTTTCCTCCCATTAAAACCACCACAATCATAAACTTTAAAAAAAAAAGTAACACTTCTTCTAGCACTCTCATTGATACCTCTGCTGAAAGCCCAGCAGCACCCATCAAATACACTATTAGAAAATAAGCATTTAGAAGGAAGACTCATTTCTACAAAAGAATAGGACAGGAAAGAGGATTGCTGCTGTGCTGGAGAAGAGGCAGCAGTAGTTCCACTGAACTTACACCAGACAGGAAGTAAAATAGCAACTACAAAGCAGAGGCAGTAAGGTTAAAGGAACAGGGATGGAGGAGTGGAAAGGGGAAACCTTAGTAAGACAGCCTGTGGAGATAACCACCTATGCAACATTTAAAATTTGCCCCAAGTTTTACTCCATTATAAGTTATGGAAAATACTGATTTCACTGAATTTTCCTGCAATATAAATTTACTTATGCTGTTTGCTCTCTTCTTCTCACTCACTTCTAGACTGTATTTTATTATTGACATGTGCTAGTTTAGGGCCTGAAGGAGATTTGCTGTAGTTTTGCCATCATTACCTAGAATCTACTGCAGCTAGTGATCTGTATTATTAATTTTAAACCAAAACACTGTGAGGATTTATTTAATGGTGTTTTGCTCATCCCTCACAGGCACCA